GGAGTAAAAGACAAACTGCCTAATTTCGCTTCTTCCATGTGTATCTACCAATTTAACTGCTCCTGTGGAGCCAGTTACATATGCCGTACAATTAGGCGTGTTTCTCATCGAATGGAACTCTATTGAGCATAAATGTGATGGAAAACGAACAGTGATGTGGAAAAAATATAAGGGTTGTTCAGATATGTGAGATTACACAGAGTGAAGGCATCTGTGTAATTAACAACGTTTGGAGTCACATTTCTAATTACCACCGTAAGCTTAACTCCAATATTACTCACCATATCATACTACCTAACACAGAAGAAAAGGCACAGGCACTGCGATCGAAAACCAGTAGTGCTTTCATATCTTCCAGTTTCAATGGTTACTTCTGACAGCCTAAGTGGACAGTATCATCAGCAAACACTAATTCGACAATGCTGTTCTCTGGTAAGTTCCTAAAGTCAGTGACAGACAATTCTGTTAATACATGTATCATGAAAGTGAACTAAAATAAGGACGACAGTTGTAGAAATGAGCCTGCTATTATATCCTTCTTGGAAATATCAGTTCCCTCATAGTTTAGTTTCAGTATTAAGTGAGTGGAATGCAATCCACAGATTCATGAAATTCACATACTGACGAACTACTTTTCCAGAATCCTAGTTAATGTCTCCTCAGTAAAGTGAGCGATTGGTATTGTACTTGTGTAAACTCAATAGGCTGTGTAATGACGCCAATGAAAACGACAACAATTTTTGGAATTAGCAGTTATAATTTTAGCTTGACCACATGCAACATCCAGCAGTTGTTAAATGGCCAATCGAAGAACATCGAATCCATACAGAAAGCGCAGAAGATTTAGTACAACGCAATGTAGCGAATCTTGTGAAGTAACTTTCTTATGCAGAAGAGAAGAGCAAGGTATTCATAATCTTTTGCTGCATGTGGAATCGCAGTGAAACTCGATGCGCAATAGTATATATACGAATAAACTGAAAAATAAAGTCCTCCTTACCTTCTGAACAACTTGTCCTTATTCCAGGATAATAACTTTCTTTCACCTATGAGCCTAAGTTATGTCCATGAAATCGTAATATTACATCAATTAAAACTCCCCCCAAAATCAAGGCCACTTGAAACCCATAGCAACATATCAACGGACTTCATAGCGGGGATATGCAATTAAGCCACTCCTGGAAAGGAGGCACCAGTCCTGATATTTCAGTCCCAATATATTAGCATCGATGGTAATCACATTATGTGAATTTGGTTCATACTTGAATTCATCTGATTCTTGAAGTCCTCACCCCTTCTCGCGAATAGTAATGCACATATACTTTGAGCCAGTTGCATATCATAGGTCATTAACGGGATTCCTTCAAAATGTCCACCCTCTGTACCTGACTACTTGCGAACTTCCATTTCATTGATTTATTACTACTTAGACCAGCACCTTGGTTAATATCTTCGGAATACTATTGAGGTATTGTGGGTGAACAAATCCTCCTAAGGCTACGTGAGCCACCTGATGAAAGATCTTGTTGTTCAGTGGAGTACAGTAAAACCTCAAGGGGTATGCACTGATTAGTGACATAGTCAGCAGCTTCTTAATATATGCTCATACAGGATTGAAATTCCATGGGTTTCATCCAGCCATCTGGTAGCAAATGCAATGCAAACGTCTTCAACGAAAGACCGAAATGGAATTAGCGACAGGACAAAGATAAGGTTTCTAGCTTGCTTTACTATATCTGAAGAGAGGGGAATGGTTTATGGATTAGTCTGTCACTCATCTGAAATTTTTCTATGTAGGACTGGAGATTAAGTTTCAGCAAATAACTCTGCATCACGAATTAGCATTAGACTACATTAATTCAAATTCTACATCTCAGTTTATAGATGGAATGTATGAACAGAATAGAGGTGGAAGAATTTAATTTCTGCAACTAGGAGCAACTGGTGACTTAACAAACAGCAATTTTAGATGAACAACTCCATTGGTAAACATAACTTGGATTACTGTGCACTCATAGCCACGTTTGAAGAATTTTTTCCTATGGCCTCATTTCGTTAAGTCAAACTGTATCGCATTAATAGTCCTATGAAAAGCGAGCTAGTTTTGAAATTCGTAGGGACGCGCGCTCTGGTTGACTTTCTGTGCTCCATAGTATCTCTTTTATATAGTCGTTACAAATGGAAAGTCAGGCTTTATCGGCAGAGTTCCCGACTGACCCTGATTCAACGTCTGTGAGGGTCGCCGTGAGGTAAGAATTGATCAATCGCACCTCACTGTTTAAGGATTCGGCCTCAAAGCGCTAAAGAAAAGGCTGAAATGAACCACATTTGTACAACAGTTATTCCCAACAACGCACAAATTGTTATTGGGAAAGACGCTACTTTTACATATGATCATGTTTTTAATATAAACACACCTCAGGACTGCGTTTTCCAAACTTTGGCCAAACCTTTAGTTGATGGGTTTGTTACTGTATACTAACTTACTTCTTAGTTGTATGGATGGATATAACGCCACTATAATAGCATACGGTCAAGTAAGTCTTATTTTAGTATACATCTGCGTAGACGGGCTCCGGAAAAACTTATACAATGGGTACGGGTTTTGATATTGGCTGCAGTCATGCAGACGTTGGGCTTATTCCGCGCGCTGTGCAGTACCTGTTTGCATGTATAACGAAACGTCGGGCTGAGGCAGCGACAAAGAAAGAACCCGTTCCCGAATTCAAAGTTGTTGCACAATTTTTAGAGGTATGTTTCGCCAAATATGCCATATAGACCTTGTATTCATGAAACGTTTTAGGTAAGTCGCAGTTACTATTGTTTCTCTGTTAGTTAGACATTCGAGCGTAGATGTTAGCAGGACTATACTCACAACTACCTGCTGATGTGAAGGCATTCAGTACAAGAGATGTTATCAGTCAACTTTCTTAGGTCTAGTAGATCTTATATCTCTTACAGTAGTTTCATTGAATAGTTGTATGCTTCCGAAATCCTGATTATTAACCATTCATATACTGTGATAATGGCCATAGCCGTAAACTAAACCTAACTGAATTCCTCGAAAACTGTTGTAAGAATGACGATTGGAATGACACTCAATTATTTGTGAAAGACTGAATTTAGAATTAAGCTATGTGATGGTAGCGACAGCCCTCCGCAGAGACAAGTAGATTTGGACAACCTGGTAATGCCTCACTTATGGAGGTTTCTCACTATCTGTATCTAAGTGCAGTAAGTTATTTGACGATGTTTCATCCGCATCATTCCCATTGTTGATATCTGTTTGTGTAAGTGCAACACTTTTAACCTGAGATCTGGAAATGGGTGGTTATGTTTGTTTCCTATTGGCAATGCTGCATTGATAGACATTGATTTTCGGAATATTTATCTAGGTCCTTAGAAGCACGTGGAAGGTCGTGGTTCATGTTTATTCACAGTCTGGTAGGATGTATGTATGGAACTCTTCATTATTATGTTTGGAGTGTGTTTTAGTAACTTGGAAAATTATTTCTAGACAATAGAATATCACTGAGCAATATCGTCACTTATCAAACCCATCGTATTTAAACCAAATAGGTGTTATCGAATTTTTATGAAATACGTCTGGTAGTTCATATAGGTTTGAGCCTTTTAATTACTTCTAGGTACACTTCTGCTCTGTGTATCATAATTTAAAATACTTTTGCACAATATAATTCTCCTGTTATTTTTTTTATCTAAGGAGAGTTTTTCTTTTTACAGCTTTACAATGAGGAGTTGGTTGACCTACTTGATTCTGAAAGGGTAAGTTCGTACTACTGGCTAGTTACAGCTGTACATGCAATGAGTAGTAAGCTGATCAAACTATCGTAGGTGAATGTTTTATCGCAAACTAAATTTACAAAACTGCGATCGCACTTATTCCTTTCCAAATTCTACCTTTTGCATAGATCTTCCCGTCACCTATTCATGACTTAACTCTGAGAAATAAGCCCTACGCGGTACTTGTATTTCACCCTCGGCGTACACTTTGTGGGTGTTTGTTCTGTTTGTTTTCACTATTGAACTTGGGCTTTCCGACCAATTTCTTCAGGTAACTTTCTTATTCATTGTCTTGATATCAGGACGGAATTGCTAATTGAGACAAAGCTATTGCTCTTAGATCTGCCATTGCATTCGAAAGGTATTCAGTGCTTCAATATGCAATTGAATCATTTCCACAGTGGAATTCTATTTCGATTCAAAGGGAGGTATTCTTTCATGAACATATAGTGAATCCGGGTGTTGTTTGTAGGTTATTAGGTAATTAATAATTCATCAATATCAACATATCAAGGTTGACGACTCTTTCTCAGTGATTTCTCCATCCTGAGTCAAGCAATAAAAGCAAAGATAATATCAATTGCGACAGCTAATCAGTATAATAATGTCAGCCGAATGTTACCTCCTTTATGTTAGTTACAACTAGAAATTAAACCGTTACCTGCCAATTATTCTTGTGTGAATGGTCAATACGCAAACCTCACCTTTTGTGTTCGTTACTCTTTCCCCCTCATATATCTAAAAAAATGACTGGAATTAGACATTTTATTTGACATGTTAACGCTGTTCGGTATGTCTCTGTCGTTGTTTGAAGGACAAATGTTTGTACCTATTACTGTTGTACTAATTTAGTGTTTTTGTATCTCAGAAACAAAATTCAGAGACGAATTACTGGTGATTGAACTATAACGAGTCGGACTGTGTCATCAGTATTGACTGAGACAAATTGAATTCTAGAACTAATGCAACCCGTTCATCCGGTAGTGTTTTTATTTACTAAACTGAGACTAAATTTCTGTTGGCTTCTAGTACAACCCGTGCTCTTTGTAATTAAAAGTCAGTAAATTATAAAGTCACATGTGAGTTAAGTGCAATGAAAACTGAACAGTATCAGTATTTGAAATACTGGGGCTTTGATGTTAGATGATGAGAAGCAACAGTCCACATTGTTTTATATATGGAGTATCCGAAACAGTGTTTTTTTAATTGAAGGTAATTTGGCGAGTGGTAAAAAAGTAGGCTTTAGTAGTAATACGTCATAGTCTAGTTAGTACTCGAATCCATTTCGGGATTAGTCAGGTCACATCTTTGCTTTTTGTATTGGTGTTTAGTGTTCTGTATAAGTTTTTTATAGGATTTTTTCTTTTCAGTAAAAATTGTCTTATTCATTATATATGGTGATTTATAGGAGCAGAATTAAGTAATAATGCTCAGACGTATATACATAGTGATTATCCCAAAATTTTTTTCCGATATGAAAATTCTAACCAGTTTTGTTATCGTTTAAATAAGTTTATTCACACTGAGTATTAGATATAGTGCAGAAGATTCGTAGCTCAGGTGGATGATTTTGGTATAGTGTTCTCTGAACTAGAAGGTTTAGTTGCGAAGCATTCATTGTCTTACCAGACAAGCTCCTCGGCGCATACTTCAATTTGAAGTGAGCTTTTAAAATTCTCCACGAGTTTACTAGTTATCTTTCGTAATAACCTTGAGCATGATTGGTCAATTTGTATTGGCATCGATTGTTTCCTTGGCCTGGAATTTGACCTTTTGTTCATGCTGTTTCCTTCTTATGGATCGGTAGGTCTTGTCTATGTCGATGTGCCTACTGATTGCCGATTCAGTTGAACACCAGGCTTCTAGAAATATCCAGGTGATTTTGGTGTTTCTTCTGCCAAAGATTTGGCCATTATCCCAATTGAATTAATGTTCTTGGTTGTCTGTATGCAATGACATTAGGGAGTAGATATCGCGTCTTTTGATGGTCAGTTTGTGTTTATGAATACAAAGACGAAGATGGCGTCGACTTTGGCCGGGGTAGTGTTTTTCACAGTCGTTGCAATTTATCCCGTAAATGATATTGGTTTTGTCTTCTTTCTCTGTTGAGTCTTTTGGTTGACATAGAGTCGAGCGAGGTCATTTTGTTGGTTTGTAGGCTACATCACTTCCTGAACGTTTGATTAGCCTTGCAGTGATTTCGGAAATGTTTTCTATTTGGGGTAGGACAATTTCCTTTGTCTTCCCCTTAGGGACTTTTCGTTCGGTTGTTTGGGTTGAGGGTAGATGTCTTTTGATGAAGTTTCATGGATATCCACTTTTCGGAAGACAGCCATTGGGTATTTTTCATCATTTTCTCTTAAGACAGGAGTGCAGCAATGACTCCCGTTGCTGTTGTAATTGAGATCAAATACTCATTTCAAATTGAAGTATGCTCTGAGGATGCTGTCTGGTAAGATAAAGCCTTGCAACTAAACCATCCAGTTTAAGGAACATAACTATGCCAAAAACAGCATTTCACTAGTGTGGTCTCTTGTGCTTGCATAAGATTCTGTAGGAACTGGTGTGAAAATATTCAGGATAAAGTCTATATAGACTGTAATTTTCTGTTTATTCACTCATGTCCTATAACAATTTAGACATCTTGTTTCCTACAACTTTGCCTTTTGTTAAGTCATAATCTTTCTGTACTGATGTGAACCCATAAGTGTTTGCTGTAAATTGTCTGACTTCGTATCTGTTTGTTCGCTACCAGTTTTAACTACAACAGACAGTTATTGTGCTAGAGTATGTGCTTGCTGTAACTCAACAGGTGTATTTTAACTTGAATAGAAATACTATGGAAATACCTACCGAGATTTCATTTTTTTTAATGAAGTATAATTTGTTATTGTTACAGTAATATCTTTGACCTTCAAGTCATAATTCCTGTTTTCCAGGTTCGGAAACCTCACTTACGTCTACATGAAAATGCACAAGGTGATATTTATTTGACTGGTGTATCTACAAGACTCGTATCAAGTTTAGATGACGTGAGTTACATTGATTGGTCACATTTTCCCACCTTGTTTCTTCGTTGTATGAAGTTGATGGTATTTGACTATTCCATACCGTAACTACCGTCACCATATACGCCAGTCGCTGGTATCATTCTGAATACCTCTTGAATTCAGTTCATATTCTGTTGTTAACGAAAGTATTTTGATTTTCAACTGTTGGTGTTGCCCTTAATTTCAGAACTTGTCCAAGGGACAGTTCAGGTTTGTTTAAAGTATCTGAAAAAGTCAGTTTGTAGTTTAAAAAGTTCATATGTCCTCTAAGTAAATGGGATTACACTATGATTTCTCACTCCAGTCATTTAAAAAAATGGTACTTAGTTATTGCTATTTTTCGAAATCAGCAGTGGAAAATCATCACTGTGAAAAGGCTTAAATTTTCTTCTTTCTTCTGAGTTCCTAGATTCAGTGTTCCTTAGGATACCCTATTTCCACAAGAATACTTGTCACATCCCTTGAAACATTCTCAATGAATTGTAGCTGTAATCTACTACTCCCTTTTTCTAATATTCACCTAGTCACCCCCTTCTAGAATACACCTCACATTATGTAATACACCTGAAACAAAGTTACCAGCATCTGATTAGTCCTACGAATTCTTTGTTAAATATAAATACTATTGTACAACTCCCGAAATTTCTTCGCTGTGTACATCTTTTTCTTATGGTTATAACTGTAAAATAATAAATCATTATGTTCTTACAGTTATGTGAAAGTCTTGAGGTTAGGTCTCTTCATGGGTTAGTTTCAGAGTTTCTGAAGCAGAGATGTGATTAGTCTGTCATGTGACATGACAGTCTGTTTATGCTACTCAACTGTCTATTATAGTCAAAAGAGTAAGTGCCACAGTGCAATATTATTGGAATCAAAACATGTGATCACACTGTAGTTCCCAATGTTATTTTCAAGAAGTAGTATAGAGTAACGAAGACGTTATAAATATTGCTTATGGGGGTCGTTGTTGCGTAACAATCCCTAATCTCTATTGCCTTACACCGACAAAATGCTTTATTATTCTATGCATTGTATTCCTTAGATTGTGTTTGCATTCAAACTAATAGTACGTGTAATATCAATGGGTAGAGAGTGCTCAATTCTGAAAGATGATATGCGTAGCTCTGTATCTTCTTGATCACTGCACCGAATTTCCTTCAAATCACGACTGTGAGGTTATCAACTCGTGTTTAATATTCTATGTTGAAAAAGACTGGACAACCTTTTATGTTCGATTTGGATGCGACAGTAGAATTCTTGTAAGAAAAGTGAAGCTTGTGACTAAAGACGCCGAATAGTTATCCATTTATTTATCTTCCATAACATATCAATTAGTACAATATACTACAGTGCGATACAGTTTTAATTATTGATGACTTTTTAGGCTCGATTAGTTATTCCTAATAGTCGGATTTATGTATTCACATAACTTTCTCTTTACTCTTGTAATGCGATGGATTTTTCTTTTTTACTGGTATCAGTATTTTGCATTTCTCCTATGTAGGTAATGCTTCTCTGTTATTGCACGCCTTCGTATTTCTTTCGTTTTATTGATTTCACTTTTCAGTTCTGCTATAAACTTTATTAGCTTAAGTCGTTACAATATTGTACTAGTTTGCGTTTTGTTCCACTTAGACACCCAATATACTTTGACCTGGTTCATGCGTTCTTATGTAAAGTCAAAGTAAACAATAACAGGTTTTATGGGTTAAAGTCGAAAGTGACTAAAATGGACTTCAGAAAGTTCTGTAAAGCTAAGGATTAAGATTTAGTCGCTTCAAACCTTAGTTTTCAAAAACTAACCGGTTAAAATTTGTGTATGCATAAAACGAGTTATCACTTATCTTAGGTTTCACTGATAGCAAGATAAGCTTTATTTTTATAAAACGGCTCACCTTGTTTTATTTTCAGACTCTTAAGTGTCTTCATGATGGCACGTTAGTTAGAAGTACAGCCAGCACCAACATGAATGCTCAGTCTTCGCGTTCACATGCTATATTCACGCTGCACATCAGACAGCAAAAGTTGTTGAAGTATGAAGTGAGTTCCAATATGCATATTATTAAATATGTGAATCTACATGTACTATTTGATTACTTTTTGTCAAATAAGCTTACATCCTTGTTATTCAATGTGTATGTGTTTCGTACACTATTTTTGCCACCTACAGGTGGAATAGTTAACGGTGTATTTAGTAGGGTTGAGTTACCCGAAAGGCGTCCACACTATTCTAGGTAATTCTGTTGTCTTTAGATTATTCGAAATTAGTATTCCTACTTTATAATTTGCATTTATTGCCAACTACCCAACCAAGAGAATGCCGCTTAGATTACAAGCTCACAATTTTTTTGGCCGGTCCCCTACCCGGGAAAAGAGGAAGGCTTGGGCGTGAGGTTAGCGATCATACTCCGAAAACTCAATCAGACTGGTACAGAAACTTCAACGCACAAAAGAATATAAAAAACAAACTTTATTCTCCGCTGGAATCGGAGAGATAAAATAACGCAGGCAGGTTGAAGTCTTCGGGAAGCCAGTCAGCCGGCGTGTCTCCTTTCGATGGAAGTAAAATAAGATTGGGGATTTAGAATGTCCACACAATGTCTGAGGTTGGGAAGGCGGCATAGGTTACCAAAGAAATGAGAAGATAAGGCGTAGAAGTGCTAGCAGTCTGTAGGAGCATGTGGAATGGACTTGGAATATCGAAATTGTCAACCTGAAAGTCAGTAATCTACTCCAGTCATCCATACGGTAACCACAAGCACACTGAGGGAGTGGTTATCGTGATGTCACCAACAACAGTCAAAGCTCTTATGCAGTGGGAATCAACCTCCTCCAAGACTATGGCAGTAAGATTCAACTCAACAGGAAGGAAGGTGTCAACTATCCAATGCTACGCACCTACAAACACCTCGGAACAAGAGAAGAAGGAAGATTTCTATAGACAACTACTAACAGTAAAGGACAACATCCCGAAATGGAGACATCAAAATACTTATGGGTGATACGGATACAAACCAAAACGGGGACAGATAATACAGGAAGAGAACTCATCATGGGTCGAGAGGCTCTCGGAGAAATAAATGACAAAGGAGAACTCTTCGCAGACTTCTGCGATTTCAATGATTTGGTGATCCGAGGCAGCGTGTACAAACGCAAGGATATACACAAGGCAACATGGATTTCGCCTGATGGACACACCAAAATCCACATGGACTTCATCTCAATGCTGTTCAAGAGAGAATCAACCATCACCTGCAGCCCGCCCAGAAATACCACCACCACCGGCAGCACGTACAGAACTGCCTGCCAGTGGACACCAATCCTCCAACACAGACAGAAATCTTGAATGCAATCCACCCACTGAAGACCGAGAAGGCAGCAAGACCAGACGGAATTGCTCCTGGAGAACTGAAAACGAACCCAGAGACTGCAGCAGATGTGCTCATGCCATTATTGCAAAAGGTTTGGAAAGGTGCCCACCGATTGGTAGAAAGGCTGGCTACCTTGTCAAGCTACCAAATAAGGCCAACCTAGGCCTCTGCATGGAATGGAATGGCGTGGAATAATCCTCTTGTCCACGCCAGGCAAAATAATAAGTCGCGTCATCTCGGATGCAGATCTCCGCCAACCGGAACAAGCTGGATTCAGGAAAGGCAAATCGTGTGCTGATCAAACTGCAACTCTGTGCATCATCATCGAACAAAGCAGAGAATGGCAGTCAAACCTCCATCTCAACTTCATCGACTTCGAAAAGCCTTCGACAGCGTTGACCGAGAGGTAATTTGGAAACTACTTCAACACCATGGCGTTCAGTGCCCAAATCTTTATCAAACAGCTGGCTATACGACAGTGGCACGTGTCAGGTGATCCACAACGGAAAACTCACTCAGCGAAGACTTTGAATTGAATGCAGGAGTAAAGCAAGCTGGCCGTCTATTATCACCAATCATATTCCTAATTGTGGTGGATTGGACCATGCGTCATACTCTGCGTGGGGAGTGAGAAGACAGCAATACACTGGACGAGTATAAAGACTCTAGAAGATCTGCATTTAGCAGATGATTTATGTCACACAGACTTGAAGACTTACAGGCGAAAACGAACAAACTAGCAGAAGAAGCAGCGAAAACAGGACTCCAGGTGAACATAGAGAAGACAGAGGTGATGAAGATAACTAACCAACAGCGACAACAAGCAGCACCAATCACCGCCAACGGGAGAAATTTGAAGGATGTAGCTTTCTTCACTTATCCAGAAAGCATCGTTTCAACTACAGGCGGAACGAATGAAGATGTCAAAGTCAGCCAGAATTGGAAAGGCAAGATACGCCTTCATCAATCTGAAATCAGTTCGGGAATTTCCTGCACTCAGCATAAACAACAAGATTCAGATTTTCAACACCGATGTGAAGTCAGTCAGTGCTTCTATATAGGTCAGAAACTTGCACTGCGTGTCACGAAAAGCATTTCCAGCAGGTTACAGACTTTTACCAACAGCTGCCTTCGCTCCATACTGAAGATCAGATGGCCGGTCAGAAAGAGTTAGCAACAAGAAACTCTAGCGATGAACAAACCAACCAAGAGCTGATTGCTCAACAAGTATTCCGAAGAAAATGGAAATGGATTGGACATACACTGAGGAGGCCGTCGAGTGACATCGTGCGCCAAGCCCTCGAGTGGAATCCGGATGAGAAACGACGAATGGGGCGTCGCTTTGAGGGTGACATGGAGGAGATCATGCGAGGAGGAGATAGGAGACTGTGGGCAATCGTGGGGCCAGCTAAAGTAGACCGCAGAGAGTAGGGCTAAGTGGAGATGTGCTGTGGAAGGCCTATGTCCCACTCGGGACGCAAGGAAACTAATAATAATACTCATCGTAGGTATGTTGTATTAACGTTTTTGTTGTTCGAAAATCCTAATGAAACAGTTCATTTACTACCGAATGAAAAGTCGCTGTTCTATTTGAGTTATATCGGTTTTGAGATACTAAATAAAAGCTTCAAATATTGACCATCTGTGTTATATATGTTGTTTAGCAAGTCTTGAAACTGTTTTGCAACGGCTTTTAACAACACGATAGATATTCTGGAAATCAATGTTTCCGTTTTTAAAATACATCCAGTATAGCAAACTTGATTCAATTTTATTTTCATAAAGGTGTGGGTTGGTAACAAAAGTGATGAGTAGTCACAAACATACATGTTATTATTAGTCCATGCATTAAAGGGGTTGAATTAATGTATTACAATTACGTAATAAGATGAATAATCTAATGAATGGGAAACAAAAAGAAGTCGTGACAGTATGAAGCAGCATCCTTGTTGCCATGATAGTCGGAGTGGTAATATGGTAACAACCATGTTGATTCCAACTGTCTTGACTTTTTTCTTTTGTCTTTCTAACTTCTCATACCTCATATATTTCTGTGGGACTCTTACATAATCCCATATTTTCCTTAGTTTTTATTTCAATTTTAAGAATTTCTCTACATATTTTGTAGTGAGAATGTTCTTTTAATTTTATTTGTTGATGATTGGTATTCATTCTCATTCACTTATTTTTTGTGAAAGAATTTCAAAATTTCCTCCGTCAAAAAATATTTTTCCTAAAATGAACAGGCTTTGAAGTGGTAGAGCATGCAATGTATATATATATATATATATATATATATATATATATATATATATATGATTTCAGAGATTTGTTGGAGCATTATTCTTGTATTTATTAAAGTATAATTAATCTCACACATTATTGCCAATTATAATACCATATTCTCATTCGTTTTATAGAACTCTATTCAATCTTTGCTAACTCCTATTTTTAATGAGTTTATGTAGCGACATATAGCTTTACCATTTTCCTTTGGTTGGCTGTTCAATACTGTATGCAATGTGCTTGAGTTAGTTGCTTTATGTGGCTACTTTGTTGCAGTGGATTTTATCAAAGTAGTAGTGTTTATTAGGGATGCTAATTACGTGAAGGTAGTATCTATCATACTCAGTGAAGTACTTTCAAGTTATGTACAAAGTAGTTAAATATAATTTTATGGTGTGAATCTTTTTGAGGACCTCCCGATGATTTTCATTTTACAACACAGGCAGTGCTTGTATCAATTTTCAACGACTACCTTTTATGGAACAAACAACAAAGGTGTCTTTAGTGTTCGTCTTCTGACAGATTTTTTAAATCTCTTCACCAAACGATTTGTTTTTATTAATTTTTATTGCCAGTTTAAGTCATACAAATTTGCCTTTCGCCGGAATAAGGTATACACTTATTGGCATGATTATTAACTCTTTTATACAGAATTCTAATGAACAGAAAAAATCGGATACCCAATCTGGTGTGGATGTAGACCCTGACTCAACTGTTGTCGACCAGGTACCGGAATACGAAACACTGACTGCGAAGTTTCACTTCGTTGACCTTGCTGGTAGCGAACGTCTCAAACGAACTGGTGCTACAGGAGACCGTGCAAAGGAGGGCATATCAATTAACCGTGGTTTAGTAAGTATAGTAATATTTCATGTGTGGTACTATTTTCACTCATTGAGAGGTAAATTGAATCATTCGCTACCTTCATTTCTAATGGACTTACACATTTTTCTTAGTTTTTACTGAAAAAACATAGTGACGTAGTACGTTTATACCATGATGTTTCGGGTACAACTGTTTATTCATAACTATATCAGGTTAATCAGAATTCCAGAATTGGTTTTAGCAACTTAAGAACACTCCAGCGTATTGCTTCTAGTGTTAATAAAATTTTCATTGCGTCGGATAACTTAATCTAATTGTCACAACATTCCTTAAATCAATGTTGAAGAATATCAACACGAACATCTATTTGAGAAATCCTGCAGTTAAATGTCGACGTTCCTCAATCGAATGACAGCAAAAAGTTTTAAACTGTCTTTTAATTATGTCGCATTAGCTGTTACCATTACTTCTCTTTCCAAAAAGGAAATATAACAATAATGAATTCTGCAGTATAATTATTATTATCATTATTATTATTAGTAGTTTTTGTCGAAAAGATTTGAAGTCTTTATTATAGGTTGTCTCTCTTGATATGTGTATGCTTCAGATTCAGCTATTCGCAGCCTATCAAGTATTGTGTGGGCTGGTTTTCCATCTAAAAATATGTATTAAAATATGGTTTTTCCTTCGGGTTAGTTAATCAATTACGTATTATATAATGCCTTATGTGAAGCACTGCATGCATCGGTTGAATTTTGTATTTCACGTGACTTTGATTATGACTTGCAGCTTATTTCTGTATACTGGGATGAGTCAGTGTACTACTATGATGTATTTCAGCACATCACCTATTTGAATTATTATGAACTAAGTCAAAGATCAACGAACATTTGAAAATTACACTGAAGGAAATTTCTCTTCACTATAATGTTGTATTGACATGAGACTTAATTTGCATAATTATTTATTTCATTTTAAATGAATTTCATTTGAATAAATAAGTTTCATGAAATTCAGTCAATTCGATTAGTCAACTATGCTTAAATAAATCAAAAAATTGTGAAGCTATCCATTTTCTCCCTTTAACACTTCATTTTACCTCAAGCATCTAAGTGCTTCCAAAGTTAGTCTTAGTCGAATTCTCAGAGCTGGCGATGTTTACTGTGTATACGTTCACTAAAATACTGATACTTTCGAAGACTAAGATATGCACTTTTATGATAAATGTTAGCTCACTTAAATTTGATTAGTCTTTCACTCGATGCTTTGTTGCTCTCACACGTGATATGTGGTAAGATAAAATTCTTGAGCTGTAAAATTCAACGCACTGTTGGGATTTCAGAAGAACCTTTTTTACTAAAAAGAAAGGTGGATCAATAGTCTATCTTTGATCCCGCTACAATGTACCTGACTGTAGGACCTTCTGATAAAGAACTCTTTGATGCATTCGCATATGATAAATATTTGCGAAAATCATTTGTTTTTATCCGAGGATATTTATTAAACTGTTAGTATTTGACAGGAGGTGTATTTCATCATTTCTGAAATTCATTAGGTCGTTTGAATGTGCTAGGGATTATTATTCAAAAACAAAAGTTATCTAACCACAACATTTTCGAAGGTATTATTCTGTGCAGGATGGATTGGATTTTGAAGACTTCATATTGTTGGGTTTAGTTAGTAGTTTGCTTCAAATAAATGAATTGAATGCATCTGGTCGCACTACAGTGAGAGTTTAAAACAGCTTGATAATAGCATACGTAATTAAATGCAGTAACCCTTATGTTCAGAACCTTTTGACAGACACCAGTGACATGAATTTGTTTTAACATTATTCAGCAAACAATAAGCACTTACCGCAAACCTGGTTTGGTGGTAGGATATGAGATAGTGACTACTTCACCTATTCAGATAAATGCCGAAGTCTTAATGTCACCGTGAATGCAAATGAATCGTTTATTATCCAAAATAAAATTAGGATACTGTGAACATCAAGAAACACACCTCACAAAATAAATAAAACAACAGTTTAAGGGAACGACAAATGAAGGGGCAACTCAATGAAAACAAATCAGCGTACTAATCAAGATTATTGAATAGAGAGTTTGACTGAAATGAAGAAAAGACGATGCTTCTCCGACCGGTTGCTTCTTATTCTAGTGTGACCTAAAATAACAGTAAATGGGTGACTGTTATTGGGAGTCCAGTTATTGAATAGAGCCTTGACTAGCGCATGGTGTTACATCCAAACTAACTGAGTCAGACACTGATTTTGAAAATATATGTAGTTGTTCGGAACATTCATTGAATATTTTCATCATAATTTATGTTATCTATCTACCAATTTGTCTAATCTTTGGAAGTGAAAAGGTATTCCACTTCCAACTAGAAGGGTGTGTACATTACTTCATTCCGTCCTACTATATGACTATAAGGTAATCTCTGCAACTGTTAGTCAGGAGGTTACTTTTTTGTAACCAACTGTTTACGTTATGTGGAACAAAGTAGAATACTACAAACGGTCTTTAGAAAGAATGTTTATCCACAAAATTTCATCAAAAAGTGTTTAAAATCTAATCACAACACCAACAAGGAACCATCATCAAAGACCACAAGAAAATTCATCCTACCATAAATGAAAAATATCTCAGAAATAACAGCTAGAATACTGAGACCGTTTGATATAGATATAGCACACAAGCCAGTCAAATCGCTTAATTTGATATTATGCAAACCGAAAGATCCAACAGACAAAGGAGATAAAGTTAATACCATTTACAAAATAAATTGTATGAACTGTAATAGGCATTACATCGGCCAAAAAGGGCGTCCCCTTTAAATCAGAATCCAGAAACACAAATGAGCCGTGAAAAGACACGATATATATTCTTTCATATCAGTGCATATAGACAATTATGAACATCATTTTGATTGGGATAATGTCGAAATCTTAGACAGAGAAAACACCAAAAGTGCCAGAGAATTCCTAGAAGCCTGGTACTCAAACGAATATGCAAATAACAAACACGTTAACATAGACCAAATATACCAACTAATAAAAAGTAAATAATGTGACCAGAAAGTCGATAGAAAATGACCAAAACATATGTAAAGATGGTTACCGGGAGACGCAATTATATCACTCATGAAAAATTTAATTCATTTCACTTTATGCTAAATGTTGCGCTGAAGATGTTGTCCAGAAGGACGACGAAAGCTCCGCAACTAAACCAACCAGCTCAGAGAACACTATTAATTGCAAATCATACACCTGAGCTACATATCTTCTCTATTATTTCAAAGTAGAATACTAGATAGATAAGCAACACAAGCCGAGCTACAAAGCTGTGAATCTTCATCGATTTAGATTGCTGCGACACCACTCTTCCTTAACGAACAATGTTGTCCGATTAAGAATAAGATGGAGACAGAGATGTGGTCAAATCGAAAAATGACATCAATCCAAGAAACTACTTATTTACCATTGGTCCTTAGTTTTTGCTTGGATATGGTACTGCAAAATTCTGAAAACTGATGATTAGAGAATGTTGGTGATACAGCTGGAGATTGTTAACAACGGCCCAGGTGTACTTTGCCATTTCTAAGTTCTAAATATTTTCAATAACGTTCTCGTAGATGGTTTTTCTCTCCTATCGTTTGTGCTCATTCACACCGTAATTGTCGTGTGACTTGTGCTACTGAAAAGAAGCACATCACGGAAGATCTGTGCAAATGGTGATTTTCAGATAAGGTGTACAAAATTTCGCTTCATAGTGATAACAAATTCTGAGTAAACGTTCCTTTATCAAGTCTCTTGTCTTCTATTGTTACAGTAATATATCATTTACGTTAGTTTTTGATTGCTGCGCAAAAGTTCTACTTCTTAAATTGATACACTTCTACTCTACCTTCTGAACTTTCCTGTGTATACCTTTACGCTACCCACTGTGCATAATTTTTGTTCTATTATCAACGTATATCTCATTTAGTATGCGCGTCGAAATCTTTAAATGGTAACGAAGCTATTTAAAAATTATATAGGTATTTAGTTACCGTGTAACTATATCTATCCTTTATAGTTTACAAAATATCTCCATTGTAGTCAAATTCACTCTTTTACTATAAAGGCATAGGATGTATATTATTCAGCTGCTTTTGTCGACTGGACAGTGGTTGCATGAATATCTGTTAATAAATAATTAAAAAATATAGTTAGACAACATGTGCTTTGATTTCAGTTGTGTGACATTTTGTGATTATTATGCCTGGTTTAGCATACTTTGTTTCGTCAGAACATTTAGTTTATTCGTGTTTGCTTTATTCACCTATTGCCCGGCTCAAACGTTTCTTTCTAGCTTGCCCTCGGTAATGTTATATCTGCTTTGGGTGACAAATCAAAGCGAGGTTGTCACGTACCTTATCGTGACTCTAAACTCACACGTCTACTGCAAGATTCCCTTGGTGGTAATTCTCGCACAATTATGATTGCCTGTATAAGTCCATCCGACTGCGATTTCTTGGAAACTTTGAACACTCTTAAATATGCTAATCGTGCACGTAATATTCGCAACCGTGTCATTATGAACCAAGATAAAACAAGTAAACAGTTAGCTACATTGCGCGCTCAGTTGGCTGCTTTAGAGGAAGAATTAAATGAATATAGACAGGTGAGTTATTTTTCAAAACCAAATATATTAAATACAACTGGTTTAGAAATACACTCGAATATTCTAATGTTCACGTCTTGTATTTGATTTGTTCTCTTTTTGATGGACCCATCTACTCTCCACTTTTATTTCGACCATTTGATCATCAAACCAAAATAATTGTGTTCAAGTCTACCGTATTTCCTACTGCTATTGCCAGTAATTCTTCATTAAAAGCTTTTTGCGAACTAATGTTAGTCGCGACAGACACTCAGATGGCATGACAGCCCACCAACGAATATGACCTGACTTTGTCTTTAATGATTATTATTTGACTTTTGGGTAAACTCTCATAGTGTGAGGTTGGCCCTGTATGAGTGTTGCATTCCATCTTCTTGTATGTAAAATGTAATTCATTGATGATTTTGATCTACACACAAACACTCTTCGGTACATTTTTCTTTGAATGACAATTGCTTTTTTATTGTTATCTTTGCTTGAGAGTCTATTATTTCTCTTATATTTCAAAAACAAAGTTTATGTCAAGCCACCTTGTGTTTTAACTGGTGGAGCCTAGACTCTGTGTCGTCAGTATTGACAATGAGGACGAAAATCTGTAGGCAAATTTAGTCCTACAATCAAAGCCCTTGTTTTTGTTGATTCTCATAAAATTTATCAGAAGATCCACTTTTAAGTGATCGATATTTTTCATCCTTTGCTATTCTATCAGTATTTAAAAAGTACTGACTATATCTGTCACTGGAATCTCTTAGAATTGCCCCCTGAAGTGTGGTAAACAGATAGCAGTTTCTTTTTGTATAACCAATTTCACTTATTATAGATATTAACATGTTTCATCGTTTTGTTTCACAAAATCACAGCTTAGCGGTTTGTTATATTATGCGGGCAAATTACTCGTGAGTAGATGTATTCCGTAGTTCTTTGGGTTTGAGTATTCTTATCTGTATCTCTTATATGGGTACAGTTGTTTAAGATATCTGCGTTACCTTGATTTGTATGTAGTGATGTTATGTGAATACGGTAGAAATTCCACATTCCTTCTTCTTAATAGTGTTGTGCATCAGTGACTTAGTACATCATACTCTATGTACTATGAATACTTTGAAATTGATACTACGTATAAAAATCGCGTGAGTTGATGGAATGTTCAGGACATTTATTTCGTTTTTGAATGTTGCTGACTGATTTCACTATTAAAATTCTTAAATGCCTCTCTCTAGGCATTGGCTCACCCCATTTTAACCTAATGGAGTAGACTATGATTTATTCTAGATCTTAAGCTAGTGAATATTTTTGTTTTAGTGAGTTTATTCTGTTTTGTGTTCTGAATTATGAAACTCCGTTATACAACGGAAAAACCTATAGATATGTGTTTCCATCTTGTCATATGTTAGCGTGTATGTAGTCACAAATTTCTGTACAAATTTAACTATTTGGACTACTTTATCAATGTCATATATATCTGTGCTCACATTTATTGTAGAAGTAGTTTAGATTTTATGTCATTAGCGCTTTCGTTATTTTATTTCTGCTTTTAAGGTTGTTCCTTTATCATTTAAGTAACTGCTCAACGTCAAGTAGTTTTCATCAACAATCTACTTTTTTTTTCCAGGGTAAACGGCTTGCAACATCTAATGGTACGGAAAGTTCGAGCGATTTATCTCGTGAAATGGTCATGTTACAATCTGAAAATAACAAACTTCGACTTCGTGTTAAAGCACTAGCTGTTACAGTAGATGCTTTAAAAGTTAGTACAAATAAATATATTTATGTTACTTTGAAACCGTAATAACCCTAATATTAGCGTTTCAAAACTTTCAGTTCTTTTGGCAACTGTTTCGTTTGTCTGTACATACATTCCCATTTTATTTCTTATTTCCACCCAATTAAATACATTGCCTTGACTTAGGATTTAGTTCGTCATCAGGCTTTGAATTCCAACCTCCTTAACATGGTATGATCAGTCAGCCATTAATTGTCACACTTCGCACTATAGTCTATGAGAGTGTGTAAGTGCACACTGCATGAATTTTTGAACGTGCGAAAACTGAAGGAAATTGTTTTGCTAAAATAAATTATCAGTTCAGTAGTAGAATATCTATATGCGAACTAGTTATTGACTTACTGCAAGTAATAGATATATTTCGTGTTTTCTTATGGTCTTTGATTCCTTATATAGCTTCATAATTTTTACTAATGCTGTGATTATTTTTAACACTATCCTTTTGCATGCTGTTTTATTATTATAATAATTATTATTATCATTACTGTTTCCTTGAGTTCCGAGTGGGACATAGGCCTTCCACAGCACATCTCCACTTAGCCCTACTCTCTGCGGTCTACTTTAGCTGGCCCCACGATTGCCCACAGTCTCCTATCTCCTCCTCGCATGATCTCCTCCATGTCACCCTCAAAGCGACGCCCCATTCGTCGTTTCTCATCCGGATTCCACTCGAGGGCTTGGCGCACGATGTCACTCGACGGCCTCCTCAGTGTATGTCCAATCCATTTCCATTTTCTTCGGAATACTTGTTGAGCAATCGGCTCTTGGTTGGTTTGTTCATCGCTAGAGTTTCTTGTTGCTAACTCTTTCTGACCGGCCATCTGATCTTCAGTATGGAGCGAAGGCAGCTGTTGGTAAAAGTCTGTAACCTGCTGGAAATGCTTTTCGTGACACGCAGTGCAAGTTTCTGACCTATATAGAAGCACTGACTGACTTCACATCGGTGTTGAAAATCTGAATCTTGTTGTTTATGCTGAGTGCAGGAAATTCCCGAACTGATTTCAGATTGATGAAGGCGTATCTTGCCTTTCCAATTCTGGCTGACTTTGACATCTTCATTCGTTCCGCCTGTAGTTGAAACGATGCTTTCTGGATAAGTGAAGAAAGCTACATCCTTCAAATTTCTCCCGTTGGCGGTGATTGGTGCTGCTTGTTGTCGCTGTTGGTTAGTTATCTTCATCACCTCTGTCTTCTCTATGTTCACCTGGAGTCCTGTTTTCGCTGCTTCTTCTGCTAGTTTGTTCGTTTTCGCCTGTAAGTCTTCAAGTCTGTGTGACATAAATCATCTGCTAAATGCAGATCTTCTAGAGTCTTTATACTCGTCCAGTGTATTGCTGTCTTCTCACTCCCCACGCAGAGTATGACGCATGGTCCAATCCACCACAATTAGGAATATGATTGGTGATAATAGACGGCCAGCTTGCTTTACTCCTGCATTCAATTCAAAGTCTTCGCTGAGTGAGTTTTCCGTTGTGGATCACCTGACACGTGCCACTGTCGTATAGCCAGCTGTTTGATAAAGATTTGGGCACTGAACGCCATGGTGTTGAAGTAGTTTCCAAATTACCTCTCGGTCAACGCTGTCGAAGGCTTTTCGAAGTCGATGAAGTTGAGATGGAGGTTTGACTGCCATTCTCTGCTTTGTTCGATGATGATGCACAGAGTTGCAGTTTGATCAGCACACGATTTGCCTTTCCTGAATCCAGCTTGTTCCGGTTGGCGGAGATCTGCATCCGAGATGACGCGACTTATTATTTTGCCTGGCGTGGACAAGAGGATTATTCCACGCCATTCCATTCCATGCAGAGGCCTAGGTTGGCCTTATTTGGTAGCTTGACAAGGTAGCCAGCCTTTCTACCAATCGGTGGGCACCTTTCCAAACCTTTTGCAATAATGGCATGAGCACATCTGCTGCAGTCTCTGGGTTCGTTTTCAGTTCTCCAGGAGCAATTCCGTCTGGTCTTGCTGCCTTCTCGGTCTTCAGTGGGTGGATTGCATTCAAGATTTCTGTCTGTGTTGGAGGATTGGTGTCCACTGGCAGGCAGTTCTGTACGTGCTGCCGGTGGTGGTGGTATTTCTGGGCGGGCTGCAGGTGATGGTTGATTCTCTCTTGAACAGCATTGAGATGAAGTCCATGTGGATTTTGGTGTGTCCATCAGGCGAAATCCATGTTGCCTTGTGTATATCCTTGCGTTTGTACACGCTGCCTCGGATCACCAAATCATTGAAATCGCAGAAGTCTGCGAAGAGTTCTCCTTTGTCATTTATTTCTCCGAGAGCCTCTCGACCCATGATGAGTTCTCTTCCTGTATTATCTGTCCCCGTTTTGGTTTGTATCCGTATCACCCATAAGTATTTTGATGTCTCCATTTCGGGATGTTGTCCTTTACTGTTAGTAGTTGTCTATAGAAATCTTCCTTCTTCTCTTGTTCCGAGGTGTTTGTAGGTGCGTAGCATTGGATAGTTGACACCTTCCTTCCTGTTGAGTTGAATCTTACTGCCATAGTCTTGGAGGAGGTTGATTCCCACTGCATAAGAGCTTTGACTGTTGTTGGTGACATCACGATAACCACTCCCTCAGTGTGCTTGTGGTTACCGTATGGATGACTGGAGTAGATTACTGACTTTCAGGTTGACAATTTCGATATTCCAAGTCCATTCCACATGCTCCTACAGACTGCTAGCACTTCTACGCCTTATCTTCTCATTTCTTTGGTAACCTATGCCGCCTTCCCAACCTCAGACATTGTGTGGACATTCTAAATCCCCAATCTTATTTTACTTCCATCGAAAGAAGACACGCCGGCTGACTGGCTTCCCGAAGACTTCAACCTGCCTGCGTTATTTTATCTCTCCGATTCCAGCGGAGAATAAAGTTTGTTTTTTATATTCTTTTGTGCGTTGAAGTTTCTGTACCAGTCTGATTGAGTTTTCGGAGTATGATCGCTAACCTCACGCCCAAGCCTTCCTCTTTTTCCCGGGTAGGGGACCGGCCAAAAAAATTGTGAGCTTGTAATCTAAGCGGCATTCTCTTGGTTGGGTAGTTGGCAATAAATGCAAATTATAAAGTAGGAATACTAATTTCGAATAATCTAAAGACAACAGAATTACCTAGAATAGTGTGGACGCCTTTCGGGTAACTCAACCCTACTAAATACACCGTTAACTATTCCACCTGTAGGTGGCAAAAATAGTGTACGAAACACATACACATTGAATAACAAGGATGTAAGCTTATTTGACAAAAAGTAATCAAATAGTACATGTAGATTCACATATTTAATAATATGCATATTGGAACTCACTTCATACTTCAACAACTTTTGCTGTCTGATGTGCAGCGTGAATATAGCATGTGAACGCGAAGACTGAGCATTCATGTTGGTGCTGGCTGTACTTCTAACTAACGTGCCATCATGAAGACACTTAAGAGTCTGAAAATAAAACAAGGTGAGCCGTTTTATAAAAATAAAGCTTATCTTGCTATCAGTGAAACCTAAGATAAGTGATAACTCGTTTTATGCATACACAAATTTTAACCGGTTAGTTTTTGAAAACTAAGGTTTGAAGCGACTAAATCTTAATCCTTAGCTTTACAAAACTTTCTACAGTCTGTTTGTGGTTATGTTATTTGCCATGATGGTCTGGTGGTTGCGTTGTAAGTTTAGAAAACATGAATGCTCTATTCGCGAAGCTCGGTAAAAATCTTTTGCCTTGATTCTCTGTATAGTGCGTTGTGACTAAGAAATCTTTAGTCCTTCATATGAATTGTCGCCCTAATTATAGAAACCCCAATGGGATTTCAGTTATATATTCTATGGGCTAATTGATTGTCTTCCTGTTTGCTTTCCTAGGTGCGAAATGCCCAGCTTCTTGCTGATCAGGAAACATGCTCTTGGGCAACTTTAAAATCCCGTATGATGGGAGTAGGGCGACATGATAAATCTGATGATCAGAACAGCAAAGCAGAGTCTGATAAATCATATCTTGGTCTCATATCTGCCGATGCAGAAGATTTTCGACATCTTGTTGAAAAGTATACTGTTGAAGTCGAAGAGTTACGGTGAGCTTTTCAGTTTTGACGATTTACAACTTGTGTACAATGTGAAATTCACTTAGTTTTTTAGTAGTTTGTAATAAATGCATTTGCCAATTGGCTCTTAGATTTTTGTGTTTAAAGACTGATAATAAGTTATTCTTTCTTTTTTTTTAAACTGAGTGGTTTAATTTATTGAGCTTTTGTTAATTTGTTTTTACATGAAATTACTTTGCTATATTTTTAGCACCAAATTGGCTGAAGCTGAAGCACTAGTCGAATTCAGTCAGCGACCGTATACACATACTTCATCACAAGTTGGTCGTTTATCAGGACGCCCACTTACAGCTAATTCAAGTAGCTCGAAAATTGATTCAACCTTTTCATCTACTCGAGTCGCTTTGACCAACGGGGAATTCCCAGATCTCGATTCTAGCCTGTTATCCGCTGCAGAAGCAGGATTGTCTGCAGCAAATAAATTCTTCGATAATGATGAATTAACGGTGGACGCCAATGCATTTGAATGTTATCCTCTCAGAATTCGTAAAAGTCGACGGAAAAAGAGACACATTAACAGTTCTCAAAGTGAAGAACGTAAACCTCTCAAGTCAAAAAGTGAGTGTTTCTTTCCCTCATACTTTTGTAGTATTAACCTAGTTTGTAGTTGTGTGTTAAGGTTAATAAACCCTCTGACTGTTACGATGTTTAATTACCCACTCAGTGTCTTGGCCTGTTATCATTAAGTCGAGTTGCCATAGATATACTTCCTTTCCTTTTAATTTCTACGGTTATCTAATAGTGTTCTAATAAAAAAAGGCAAATGATGAGTGAAACAATCTCCAAGAAAAATTGCACCCTAATTGGCTCTCAGGATAGACGACTGGAAAGAACACTTTGAGGAGCAAATTAACTGGCCTACAGCCACGCTCAAATTACCCAGAATCCAACACTTCCCTGAATGGGATATACACACAGGTCCTCCATCCCTAACTGAGGTTATAAAAACTCACTAATCTGAAACGAGGTAAAGTAGGGGGCCTGATTGGATGACTCCAGAAGTGTTTAAGGATGGTGGAAACAATTTACTGTCTGCGTTAACTGAAGTATTAAGCAGCGTCTGGGAATCAGAGGTAGTCCCGTCGAGCTGGTGGTGTAAGCCATTGATTATCCCTATATACAAGAAGAGAGACAAGTCTTCCTGTGATAATCACAGGGGATTAGCTTGACTGATATGGCATCTAAAGTTCCAGGCTCAATAATAATGCGTAGACTAAGTGGTGCTCGGGAGGCACAAACACGAGAGGACAAGGTGGGCTTTAGACCAGGAAGAGGGTGTATCGACCATATCTTCACTCTTTGACAGATTCTGGGAAATAGGCATACTTGTCGGCGTCTAACAATCGTCATATTTCTTGACCTGAAAGCGGCATTCGACTCCGTCGACCGAGAGGTACTGTGGCAATGTTTGGCTGTGGAGGGAATGCCGAGAAAATACATCGCACTGATCAAGGCACTCTACTTGAACCCATGTAACCAGGTGAAAGCTTACGACGAGTTGTCATCTGAACTGGTGACAACTAGTGGCGTCCGTCAACGGTACCCACTGTTCCCATTTCTGTTTAATTTCATCAAAGATGTACTAATGGACTCAACCCTAACTGACTTCAGCGACTCAAGGATTGACTTGTTGCCACCAAGGAATAATAGTCTCATTGACTTAGAATATGTAGATGACATAGTCCTTCTTAGATGAAGACGCTGACATAATGCAGTCTTCTGAACACCTTGAGCACTAATCTTCGAATGTTTGGCATGCAATTCGCTACAGGACTGGACTATATCGACTCCTAGTTTACAGATAGGGAATGAAATGTTAGGGCGTGTTGACCGATTCACTTATTTGTGAAGCCGCGTCAGTCCTGATGGGTCGATTGCTGACGAAATCTTAGCATGGATACAGAGAGGTCGTTTGGCGTTTGCCAACATACGCCATCTGCTACATTCATCAATATATGAACAACGAAAAACTTCACGCACCATTGCAACACGTTGCCTTACATTATAGTACCCAAAAGTATGTGAATTACATTTTCTGTTTCTGGTTTGATTGGATGAAAAAAAAGAGGATAACATGATCATAGGCATTTAAAGATCTGGTCATGTCAGAGAATATACAACTTCTTTTGTTGTTTAAGTGTGAAATGTTTACCAAAGGTAGATATGCGGTGTTTAATTTCAGCAAAAGCTGAGCTCATCTTTAGCACCGAGCTAAGTTAGTTAGACCAAATTATATTTATACCAAAATCGGGAACAGACTTATATTAAGGGATAATTTGTCTAAAATAGTATAAAGAGATACAGTATTATTTACCGAATATGTTCCGTATAATATAGATGGAGTGCGATATGCAACACCAGAGCTCAAGGTACAGAAAATATGGTTACTGTAAATATCAGAGGACAAGAAATGATAGAAATAAGCAGACAAATTCAAAAGGTTTCGTAAATACTGTGATATAACTCAAGCAATAAGTTTTGGTTGCACTTCACTGGTGAATAGTACTGTATGACTGTGCACTGTATTGAATTCGTTCTATGTTGGGATTAATGTATTTTGATTGTACAAGCCTATTTTTTAAATTTCATGACATAGTTAAGCATGTTTTTGTACATTTTACTTTCTACAAGTATTTATAGTTTATTGAACTTAGACACTGATTTATTTCGACTACTCGGTCTCAGTGTAAAGAATATAAATCTACTTATGGCCATGACTATTTTCAAATAGTTCGCTCCCTATATGTGAACAAAGTACCTGATGATATGACTCTTGAAGTCTTTAATGATGATGGTGATAGGCTACTGACTGGGTTAACTAGGATATTAGGCAATGCATGGGAATCTGAGATAGTCCCGTTTGACTGTTATAAGTTATTGATTGTCCCAATCTATAAGGGAAACACGTCTTTCTGTGAAAATCATTGAAGGGGGGGGGGTCAGCTTGACTAATACATTTAAAATTCCAGGTTCAGTAATCATGTGGAGACTAAGAGGTGCTCTCATGAAACAATCCCAAGAAAAAAAGCCAGTGGTGGTTAAACCAAAACATGGCTTTATCAGTGAACGAAATCCACAACAGTTATTTCAAGCCAGGTAAGGAGGTGTAGACTGGCTTCCTGGTTGAGGTCCTCGGATGTTAAGAACCAATTGCGACTGGAAACAATTGGTGATACAGCTCAAAATCGTTGTCAATGGCAAGGATGCATTCACTCTTTGTGATTTATAATATCCAATAAAATTATATTGTTCTTCCATATTGCTATTCTTGTTTCTCATACTTCTGTTTCTTATCTCTCTTTTGAATCTCTCTGTATTCCCTTCTCTTGCTTTATGTACCACATAGAGTTTGGCAACTTGAACTGCTGCACATTCGTGCAAAGTTTTACGTTGAAACCGGTCAGTGTTTAATGCTGAAGTAGCCTAAGTCATACTGCACTCACACGTCTTTCTGTCAGTTCCTCGTTAACCCCTTTTATTTCAAGGTTCGTAGGGTTCGTAGAAATGCTGAACACCAACAGCTGGAGGTTGATGGTAATATGGCTTAGAGTCGTTTTCGATGTTACATTTGCTCTTTATGAACTTGGGGATCCATCAAATCGTCGTTATCTTCTACGCATTTATTCATTTTCCCATAGATTTCTGTTCAGTATAGTTTCTTTGAAGTTTTTGTACTTTTGTGTGCTACATGGAGTGGCTTTTTGAACTGCTGCGCTTATGTGGGAATTTTTACGTTGAGACTGAGTCAATCAATGAGGCTTATCATTTTTCCCACACATTTGAGTTGTCCATTGAACTTTCTTCTTATATTTCTCTTTCTAGTGACTAATGTTGCTGCTTTTTCTGACATTGAAAATTCCAAAAGTAGTAATTCTCGGAGGAGAGGACGGCGGACCTTGTTATCTAATGATACAGACAGCACAGCAATTGAGGGACTCTGTGATGAAGATCGAGAGAATGAGGTAAGTTTCTTGGTGTAGGTTTTATTATGGCTTTTTCTCGTGTATGACTTTTTGGCATTAGTCAATGAAATCCACAACAGTTAGTTTAAGCCACGTAGGGAAGTGTAGATTGGTTGGGGTCCTCGGATGTTAAGAACCAATGGCGACTGGAAACAATTGGTGATATAGCTCAAAGTTGTTGTCAATGGCGCAGATGCATCCACTTCTTGTGACTTATAATACCCAATAAAAACATATTGTTCTTGCATACTACTATTCTTTTTGCCTTATATCTCTGTTTACTGTCTCTATTTTGCATTTATTTTCACTCTCTTCTCTTGCTTTATGTACCACATAGAGTTTGGCAACTTGAACTGCTGCACATTCGTGCAAAGTTCTATGTTGTAAGCAGTCAGTCATTGAGCTTGTATGATGTCACCTTTGTGACTCGATCCGGCCTATTTCGTAAACACTAAGTACCGTACATTGTTTTGATTTTTTTTGTTATGGACTTCTGAAGCACCCAGTGGTATCACATGACCACTTGCCATTTTGCTATTATAACATCCTGTTGTCTTTGATAAGTCATTGCTGTTAGAAGATTCTGTATGGAGTTGAATACTCATGAACGTAGTGATCGATTGTGCATATATCCCAGTACGTTTCTACTTCGTTATAGATCCACAAACCTGAATTCATATAATCCTACTAAAATGTTTCGTATTTTCAGTGTAGGAATATGATTATTTTGGTGTACCGATATTGCTTGTTTTCATGTCACTGCTTTTATAGTACACCCCTAGATGGAATTTAGAGTTTGTTGAACATTTTATTCTCAAAATTTTACTGATATGTCTGGATTTTCACCCTAATTTGATTTAGTGTTTAGTTATTCTTTTAACTACTTTCCGTTGTTTGTTTTCACATTTTCAGAATGATAGTGAAAATGTTGAAGATGAAACTCTTTTGGGTAATGATGCAACAGAATTAAGTGATTCATGTTCGGATAGTGATTCAAAAGGTAAATTATTTTACGCTTTCCAACTAGCTGTTTTCTTAAAATTAGAATGATATATACGCATTTGTTTTCGTACATAGGCTATTTAAGTCGCGTACACGTTAATGTATGTTGTTGTAAATTCGCTATTGATCCGATGCATTATGAGTTTTTTTAGAGGCGAATAGATTTTCTAGTTACTGGTTTTATTTGAAATACAGTCGGTAAAATTATGAATACTAGAAATGTTCCATATGAAGTATCGCATTTCTTAAAAATGCGGGTAGGAAAGTAAACAGGTGTATTTCGTGTATAATCCTTATATTCCGGATGCGTTTATCTTATAATGCTTTCTGTATTACCTTTCAAACAATGAAGTATGAAATGTTATTAATTATAACCATTGTAATTTCAGGTAGTTTGCAGCTGATGAGAACCTGTGAAATAGAATGATATCATTTTATACTGCAAATCTGGTCTTTCTTTCTCTATCGAAATAAATTATGTGACAAATTTTCAAATAGTTAAAGAATAATGAAAGAAATAAGCAGATTTTATTTTACGACTAAATATGCGTTCATTAGTATCTAACAGGCTCTAAACCATATTTATTGTGATACTACCGAGGCTGAAGTAATTTAGGCATAATTTGAATCTGGCACCCATTTGTTGAATGTCTAGTATTTACGATAATATGTCACATCTCCACGATACATTTCTAAAGATATCATCATCTTTGCGTTGTTTTTTAAAATGTGGATGACAATAAAATTATGATTTACGTTGGTTTCCATCTAAAATTCATCTAATAAAGTCTATCTGTCTTTATCAATGAATCACTGTGTTATTGTATTGTCAAAATTTTGAAAACTGCTCAGTTATCGATGAAGCCAACTTAAATTTCAACTGTTTATTTGTGAAAGGTAGGGTTCATTCGACTTTTGTTTAAGAAAATGATGGCCTCAGTTCTCTTCTTAGTGGGGAAAATGATAGTCTAGTACTACTGTAAATACGGGATTTCAGAAATCCAATAGTGATATGCTGTTATTCTGATCATTAGAGAAGAGTGGGAAAAATTATTATTTCTTGGTGTAGCACCATTCTACCAACGCGTCATTAACTTATTTAGTGACGAATCAGTTTCCGATAGTCCAGTTTTCCTAATAATAATATTGCTTTCCATGGACATTACTCAAAATATATGTTTGCTACAGTAAAAATATTTCTCAAGTACACACCTATCTACCTATTTTTGTTTATGCTCTCAAAGATGTTATGCAAATAATTTTATGTATGGACTTTCGTAGATAAATGGACTTTTTCCTATTCTTTTGTTTTTCATACTGTTCCAATAGATTCTATCGATGAAAATATCTTGATGGGAAGTATGAGTGATCATACTAGCGATAAACCGCAATGTGGGTTGAAAGAAGCTCGACTGCATCAGAGTTTAGCCCATGTATCCTCTGAGATTGACACTAAGCAAAGGTTAATTGCTGAGCTGCAGTCTAAGGCTGCCGAACTCAATCATTTGAAAAATCACTATGAACGTCAAATGGCAAGTCTTCTGTTTCGGATAAAAGAGACGGAACGTGAAAGAGATTCAATAATTGCTAATCTCGGTCAAATAGAGCACAGTGGCGAAGAGAGGTTAAAACGTACTCGAGAAGAGTTTGAAAAGAAATTATCCATATTACAAGTAGGTGCATCTATTCCTTAGTTTTATTTGTCATATGACTGTATCTCACTCGATACAGCCGATTTTATCATGTCAAACTCATTCCTCTAACTGATCGTTTTTATTTAACAGGAAGAAGTTTCACAACTTCATTTGTCCCGCCAAGAACAAATTCGTCTGGAACGACAGCAGTCTAAGAAAAATGAAGAGTTACGTCTTTTACGACAAGAACTCGAACAACTGCGAAAATACAAAATCGATCTAACTAAACGTCTAAGAGAAGAAACCCAGCGTACTCGTCACTTAGAAGCTTTGTCGGCCAAACGTGTTATGGAGTTGAAAAAAGCCAAATCACAAGCTGATAATCAAATAAAGACACTAGAAGCAGCTCATTCAGCTAAAGACCGTGCTTTGCAACAGAAACAAGCTGAGGTAATAAAGCTGTATGCTTATCAATTAAATAGACTCTGATTTCTTCACTTATATATCCATAAGCCATCTATTAACATGATAGTTTTCATTACTTTACCCGATGGGTAATTTGAATCAGCATTGAAGTCATTGTGTTATGTAATTCTTCTGTAATACAGTTTAAGTTTTATTTATCAGTAAATATTAATTATCTGAACCTATATAAGAACAAATTTCTCCTGGTAACCTTAGATTTTGACCATTTATTGTTCCTTCGAAGAATCGCACTTATTATCCTTCTTCCCAGTCGTCAACTGAACTCCAGCTTTGTTTCTAGGGATTATAAAACCAAGCAGTTTTGCATATCTCAAACGTTTGTCCTTATCATGTCAACTTTGAATTACTGTTTCAAGTGTCTAAACTATAAGAAATCCTTTCAAGTTGGTTCCCGTTGTCGAACGTGCCAGTTTATATATTTCCTGTAGCGATAAATATGTTTGAGCCGGTTTATGTTCTTATGTGTTTTTAAAATTTTGGAGCTCAGAACTATTCAATAATTTATAGTGAAAGATGAGATATCTTGTCAGTTGAAAGAAAGATTATTAGTGTCACACAACTTGGCACATTTACACCATATGCCTTGATTTAAAATTGCCGTTTCATTCGGTTCATATGATAATTGTCCTACTTTTGAAAGTGTTAGTTAAGTTTATTAAATTATTTATGGCATCTTTCAAACCACTTGTGTGTGTGTGTGTGTGTGTGTGAAGGTTCGATGTTGAGAAACCGAGTGGTTTAAGTGGTGTTTAAGTCTACCGTTAACTGATAAGGTGTTTATTTATTTTTGAATTTTAATTCTAATCCTTATTTATTGGTAATTGCCGCTTTAAATAACATCAATTCATTTTATTTTGCAGTTAGATGTTCTTAGGCGGAAGAATATTGAACAGCAAAGACAATTGTCCTCTTCTTTCAGTGGTCGTATGTCTCAGAGTGTATTAGGAATGACAAGCACCGGTTGGGGTTCACTACGGAAACCAATCGGTCGATCATCATTAAGTAATTCAATGTACGGTCGACATCGTATATTCGGGACAGCTAAAGCTAAGTGGACACTGGTCTCTCAGGAACTGGATGCCAGTGTTGAACGACATCAAAAGTCAGCACGCTTAGAACATGATCTGCAAACATGGCTTCGTGAGCGTGAGTGTTTAGGGCGTCGATTGAAATGTTTGCAGCGTCGCAGAGCTCGTATTGAAGAAAATGCCACGAATGATTCAGGACAAATGGAGAATTCATCTAACTTGGCTGAATTTAATGAACAGGTCAGTTTTATCATTATAGTGTTTTTTGTTGTTTTATTAGCATAGGAACCAGTTAACCTTAAAAAATACAATAAAATGTTTTTGTTTCCCCCCTTACAGATAAGAAATGTTACGGCTCAACTCGAATCAGTTCAGGACTCTATACAGGAATGTCAGGCTAGCATCATTGAATTTGAGAAATGTGAATCTAACACATCAAAACTCACTGGTAATAAACAGGTTAAATCTCAAGATTCAAGACAGAATTTGTCTTCGTGTAGCAATAATCAATCAAATAATGTGCATGCGGTATTCTCAAGTTGCACCTTAAGTGAAGCACGTTTTCTTCTTACTCAGCTTTTTGAAGCTGCTGTTTCTCGTGGCTTGCTAGCTGCCCGACTGCAACAGAGGGAAATCCAGTTACAAGCCAGTTTATCGATGAAGGAACAGGAACGAGAGCAAGAATTAGAACTTATTAAGCTGGCTATGCAAAATGCTGGAATATCACCTGATTGTATGGGAACAGTGTTTTCTATTAATGAACCTCCATTTCGAAAGCCTTTTTGTCCACATAATGGAAAATCAAACATTACTGGTTATGAATGTTGTCCATATACTCTTTCATCTGCACCGATTTCATCAGAAGACTCCTCTGATGAATTACAGAATGAAGACAATCAAATCCAGACGTATTCTAACATTTTAAGTAACCAAAATAGGTTTCCAATGTCCAGTTCTATGTATGCGAATATGGAACCATCTAAATATGGTGAGTGTTTTATATTCGACTTATTCTAAATCTGATATTGATTCAGAATACGTGTAGTTTGACACCCTTATATAAGGTTAACATAGTTTTAACTCACAGTATATATTGTGGTATTTTAGCGGTGTAATGTGCTCTCAAACCAAATCGAAACGTTTGACGTTTGAAGGTCTCAGGTTCTAGTTCGCATGTTTATTTTCAAGATCTACGACTTCATGATCCTCCAAGTATTTATGTAATGTGGTGTGTGGAAATTAGTTCATATTTTCGAAATTCCTAATGCCTGTTGATCTCAAAGTGTGTGATTTCCTGTTTGTTTCAGCTTAAGTATCATCAGTCTTCTTATCACGCTTAGAGTGACTTCGGGAGCTTTCGCAATAAAAATACTAATGCCTAGAGTAACAAAACCGCTAAAACATCCACATATTGAACCGCAAATGTTTATGGGTATACCACTAAGCAGTCAGGGAAAATGGTATGACATTTGATATTGTCTTCCTTTCGACAGTCGGATATGTAATTGTGTGGAGATGTGATACGGACAATTTGTTCCAAAGGAATATAATTCTCACATATTCCCACAGTTAAATACTGCATTAGCAACAGAATACTATGTTTACTTTTTACTTACTTTACTTCGGCTACCTCCTACGGGAGGATGAGCCGGCTTCATGAACATCTCGAATCATCGCTGCCCAGGCGCGGCGATCTGATGCAAGGTTTTGCGACAGGGTTATCCAATTCTTGTTCCACAGACGGAGTCCGTCGACGGTTTGTAGCCCCAGGCACTCCATATCAGCCTTGACTGTGCCAAGCCATGTTTTCAGCTGTCCACCCCTGCGACATCGCCAAGATGGTAATGGCGAGGGATTTAGAACTGATTTGACCAGATCGTCATCTGGTCGGCTCAGAACATGGCCAAACCACCGAAGGCGACGTTGTTGGACCAGTACTGGAATTTGGTTGATGTTGTAGCAACGAAAAGAGAGTTCATGAAGTTTCATGGGAATTTGGTACGAGTGATGTCCCCAGAATCGCTCAGCCTTTTGTTTGAGAGTGCAGCTCTAGCCTTTACACAACCAAGTGTGGCCTACAAGGCAGTAGGAGTGGAGTAGGGAGTCCACTATCCATTGGCAGTCGGTGACCGGAGTTCGGTTCATACGCCTTTTTGAATGGGGCCAGACATCCAGGACATCCAACAAGCTCTTTGTCCATATGTCTGCCGGTGAGCTTCATACGCCAGTCGTTGGAGGTTTGGAATCAGGGTTTAGCCATCTCCCCTAGATTGTCATCCAATGGACAGTCAACCCGGTGAAGAGCGCCGGGCATCCGCTTTCGCCCTCTCACTTTGGTGGAAAACATCACCACGTGAAGGCAGTGAGTAGGACTTCCTCAGGAGAGGCTATGTAAGACACCCGGTCATATGGGAGCATTTCAAGAGGTGTGTGGAGGGGTGGCCAACTCGCAGCGCAAGGCACCCACCCCCGACCATCCTGAGGCTTTGGAGAGTATGTATACCTGAACATTCTATTTAATGTCGTTTAGTGTGAACCAAAATCACACACTCAGTGATTGGTTAACGAATATAAACTGTATAGATGTAAACAGCGGTTTGATTAATGAATAAGATGCCTTGGCTCCCGTGTCTTGCCTTCTGTTGTTACAATTGGAGGTGTTCTCTGTTTGCACTTTTGAGAGGTAAAACTGTTATGAACCGAAAGTTTTTCAATCGCATCATAATAATAACGAAATTATCCGTAATGTCACGTGTGGAAGACAGATTATGAATCTCAATCAATTAAGGTTAGCAAAGCATGTGTTACTCATGTCGAGGTAATTCCTTTGTTATATATAGTTCAAATATATTCCCTTCCTTGACATTTTCGAAGTTCTGAAGATGTCTACTGATCTCGATCAAATTACATTCTCTGTCGCACCCATGTTTGCTTATCATATCGTCATCATATATCTGTTTTATTCGTTTGTGTATGCTAACATGAATGAATGCGTTTTTGTGCAAAATTGTGCGTTGTCAGTCCATCCTGGATTACTAAGTATGCTGAAATACAGTTGCAGTTTTCTTTAGAATGCCGTCCGGTATTCGATGCTCCATTTTAAACGAATCTGTATTACGTCACATATTGGAAATCTCAGAACAGTCATTATAATGATTGACTTCACAAATCGACTGACTGTCTAGCAACCTGTGTATATAAAGCGGATGCTAAATTAGTAGTTTCGAATTTTTCATATTGTGTGTATGACTTTTTTGTTTGTTTTCATTCGTTCATTTTAGTAAGTATAAGTTGTGGGTGTGTTTTAAAAGTGTTTGAGTGGTAGATTAATTTCATTGACCATTAATGTCCCATTCTTCATAGCCTGTTTTTTCCATGGAAGTTTTGGCTTATTTTAAGGGTAGAGTCCATTATAATTCCTCTCAAAATTAATTATTGCCGTATCACTAGGTTATTCTCTTCAATGTGTTCGTTAACAGTAATTTCACTCAAGATAGTCGTCACGTGAGTAACTTGCCTGTTGTCTAAATATAACACTAAACGGTTTCTATGCTTTCACTTTTAGATGCACAAGAGGCATCTGGTGGTTATGGTGCTTTGGGTAGGTAAGTTTCGTCCTACTTACTTTGTTCCTGTACCTTTTTATTCCCATTTTAAAGTTATATCAAACATCATATTATTATTTCCCCAAGCAGTATTGAAAGCATTCCTCGTGAAATGTTCACTAGCATTGGAAATTCGTATGTAGTACTACCTCTTGGTCATGTGTTCTACATCATTTCTGTTACATTTGTGTAAATGTTACACTTTTTCACATCTCTTTAACAACCTACTTAACCAGGCACACTCATGTTTGTTTTTTGTAATAAAAGAGTGATTATGATTCTTTTGAAAAGCAACACAAGTTCATTGAGGTAAGAGTTGATAAAGGTGGCAACTTTGACTGAGGCATTCAGTTTCATTTAATTGATGGCGAATATGAATCCTTTTTGACTTATTGAGATCTCAGCAACCAAAGAGCATCATCAACACTCACAAACTGTTGCAGTTAGTTTGTAACCCCACTCTATTTGTTGTGACACAACTTTGATCATTCAAATAATATTAATGTATCAGAATTGTATAGAGCATGATGTGCATTACCACCGCTTTCCGGCTTTGACTGTCAAGGTATATATTATCAACTTAGGTCGTAGTCATCATTCACTTAGCATTGTGCTGCTTATCATCCCTCTCTCCACATATTTTGTTAATGGAGACCTTTAACAAGGAGTGCATTGCTTCATAGATAACCGCGTATAAAGTAATAAAATTGAATATGGAAAGTTGAATCTTCGACCTTTTTCATCTCCAGTCGTATTTTACGGTGGGATATTCTATGCATACTTATCACATCTGATAAGTAAACTGCTACTCTTCATTAATTGTAAGTAATGAAATAAATTTAAGTGAACTTTTTATTACTTCCATATTAAGTTTCAAGAGTTAGTTTGTAAGGATTAGATTTGTTTTCCGAGTTTGACTGCGGACCAGTGAGGTACATCCAGTCGGGAATGAGGATGGATTTCCCACAGATGATATTGGTTTGTGGTCGCGCTAAAATCACAAATTGGTAGAAGTTAAAATTCATGAACCATTGAATCGGGTCTCAGTGGCTGAATGGTATACGAGCTTGCCTTGTGACTGTTGCATCATTCCAACTGCACGTGTGCGGCGTTAAACCGATCATTGAAGATTCAGTGATTAAATCCTCTTTTCACCTAACTACGTTGCTATTTAATACTCTCATCCTGTCCTACCCTGTTTCTCATGTAATTACCCCTATACCGGAGATATAGAAAATGGTAACAAACAAAAAAGGGAAGTTGAAGTGAGAGGAAGAGAGAAAATATATGTTAGACAAATCGTGAAACCGCGCGACTAAAATTGATATGATTATGAGCAATAATTTATGCTCGAAACATCATCCAGTTGTTAATACTGCATCACTTGGTGATATTTTTTATTACTCTTTGGCTAAATAAAACTAATATCACTATATATATATATATATATATATATATATATATATATATATATATATATATATGGTTCCGTTCAACTGAGCTACCTGGTAGCTACAGTTGTGATCTGAAACTTGTTATTTATTCTATTTACAAATAAGTGTTACCAATAGTGGATTGATTATTCTCTTTAAAAATCAATACTTATTTTTTAAGGTAACTTCGTAGTACTTTGTACTGCTTTCCTGAGTTCGGATCATACATTTATCATATTGCTGTAATTTACGCAAAACCCGTGGCAAAATGATGCACTTAAGCGTAGCTAACTGCAATATATGCATATTAGAACCTTTACATATATACTTCTAAGCGTTAGCAGTACCCTATAGGAATGAGTTTGAACACAAAGTGGTCACTTAGAGGGTAGTCAGATTCATTCAACTTACCCCTTATAATGAGGATTAAGGTACACTCGTTATATGCATATATGTATATTCAGGTAAAGGAGGTAGGACTTGAAGTTAGGGTGTGATATTGTTTGTTGGTTGTGACAGCAATTGCATATCTATGAAACTATGTTATTAGTTTTCAGTATATATCATGCTGATTTTGTTTATGGATGTTTTATCTGTCTATCTGTATCCTTTTGATAATGCTAATTTATAAATATAAATCGCTGGAAAATAGTTTTGTTTTTATAAATAACCAACTAACCGCACCCCTTATTTTTCTCGAATAGTTTGTTTATATGCATTCACTTCATAGGGAACTATTCAGTCACAATAACTGAGAATTTAATTTTTCCATCCAATCTTCACACAAATTTTATTATTTTTTTCCTCAGCGCTAGTATAAACGGAAGTGATGCTGGTAACAAGGCTCTTAAAGTAAGTTTTTAAATGCCTAACATGATTCTGTATTTTTATCAAACTGACTCACTATAGATTTGAATATGAAAGATACATTTTTCTCCCTTTGTAATACTAGTTCATCTAAATAGAACATCAACTGATTAGTAAATCGTATAGGCTTAAGATTATCTGGCAGTAGTAGTAGTGGAAGAGATCGCAAAGTGAAACAATGAATTCACCTGTTTTCTTTGTTATGTGTTTTGTAAAGCTGCGTTTTTAAGTTTTTCCTTTTATGCAATTTACTGAAGCTCATTTGGAATCGCCTTTTGATTTTACCTACTGCTAAATATATGAGAAAATGTCAATTTGTTTATTTCATAACTATTGATTCAGCAAGAATTCTTTCTATCTGGAAGTTATTTTCAGCTGCAAAATCGTATTCATACTAAATACAATCACATTACGATCGCTCATACACAACTGTTACGTCAATACCGTTTTGAAAATTTTATGAATAGTTATACCTCAACTTTAAAAAAGATATGGCTCGATAAGTGGGAAATGGCGGTTCGATTTTTGATAAGTTGGTTATAATCACTCAATAGACAAATGTGGAAGTGAAAAAAGGTTAAAAAAATCTGTCAAGGATAATCACTGTCAAGTTAACAAACGGTCGCGACAACTTCAGACTGATTAGTTCAAGCGTTTTAGTGGATATTGGTGGAGCTGTTTGATTTGAATTAATCATGTGTTTTAGAATTGAGCTGGTTATTGATCCATATTATCTTGGTGACTGTGCTGAAATGTGTTTTGAATTTACGCGCTTCGTCTGACACTTTTATAAAGACAATACAAAACTCAATTAAAATAACATTGAAAGAGTATTGTTTTTCAATGCATCCGTCGAAGTGCGTGTTAATATTAGTAAGCTATATTTTGGGGGTCATAAGGATTTACCACTGAGTTGCTCTGCCTTGGAGCTTTCGGCCCATTAATAGGGACTATAAATCACTTCGAGTGTGTTTTCCTGTTGAGAAATTGACCGACAGTTCAATGTTTATAAACTTTTACTTCACGTATAATTTCACTACGACTTATTATCATCATTCAATTCTTTCATTTTGTTTGACTTTATTATCCTCAAGACAAAACGGCGTTTAGTGCAAGGTGAAGAAACAGCTGGTGTTTCTTCAAGTTCTTTCATTCAAACTTCACAGTCAGTTTGCGATGTTATGCCACCTCCAAGTTCTACTCTTCGGCGCCCTCGAACTGTTCTAAATATATCTTCAAATACTGTTGCGAACAATCCTTCTGCTCTTCGTTCTTCGTGTCCTCCCAGTGCTGTTCATTCTCCTACAACTAGACGGAATGTAACAATCATAGATGGAATTCCAAACTCTGCACCTTCAAACCTACAACTGTCAACAGCGCGTTCTGCGATAGGAAATGTAGGCAATGTTCCTAATGTAATGTCGACTTCGTTGATTTTACAGCCTATTAACAACACTGACAGGTAACACTGTTTTCTTCTGATATTCTACATGTTCACCTACAACGCTGTACCTTCTTAATAAGTTTTGTGCTTATGCAGACTTACTTTCTATCTGAAGAATATCCATAGATTAGGTAGATTTAATATTCTGTTCCCATACTTGATCTTTTACTCGAATAAAGAGTTCCTATATTATCTGGTCTCATGCATTCATTGCCAAGTTCCATTCATGAAACTTTACTTAAGAATAAAGATACTCAACAGCTACATAATTTTTTCATGCTCTATTATTTAGTAGGTTCGATAATATTACCTCCCTACTCTAGCATCAATCTGTACTGAATTGGCTAAAATTCAAATACCTAAACCAATGATTTATAACCCAACAAAAGGCTTAGGTCTATTGACTCATCTGATAACCATGGTACATTGAGTAGTCCGTATAAATGATCATCACACACAGAGTTGTGTGTGAGGTTTTGCAGTCTATATCAATGGTCGTGTTTTAACTTGAAATTTGATGATATACTCATTGCTTTTTTAAGCTCGCAGCATCATCACGTCCCAATTATTTGAAAATATAACAGTACATTAAGTGTTTTTACATAAGTTTAAAGTTCAAAATTGAAGTTTATTTTGAACAAAGAACAGTATATTCTACAGTTTCCTATTGTCGTGAAAACCGACTTGAATGTTTTGTTTGTATTTTTCTTAGCGTATCAGCTGAAAGTAGGCCCACTAGTCCCACGAGTAAAACAGCCCCCATAGCTTCTCTATGTCTAATGGCCTCTGAACCTGATGACGTCTTCAATCGGCTTACCAGTGGAATGTCAAATTCGCCAAATCCTACCAGGTAAGTTCCCCTTTTAAGGCACCCTGCAAAGATTTCTTTCATTTCCACAAAATAACGGTTAATTGCGGATCATATTCTCAATTTGCAAATTACACAGTTTTCTTAGGAAACGGAAATTAATCAACTAAGAGTATGTAATCATAATACCATCAGTTGCAAATCACGAATTCGATTCAATGCATTACCATTTCACCCTAGTACCTAGTCCTATACTGAATCAAACCGGGTTCACTGTTGATGAGTCCACCCCCAAATGAATGAGACGACCATCTAGTGTTGAGATCACTTCAGTGTGGTTCACTAGTACTACTGTGGTGAGAGATGTCTACTAGCCAAAATTGGTAGACAGCAATTTACGTCAATGTTTACTTCCCAAATCGTGGTCATGAGAAAAACAAGAACAAAGAGTTTGCGTGGGCAGATACGATTTGTAGATCTATGTTCTGACCTTCAAAGAAACGACCACAAAGAGATGGCAGATTAACTTTCACCGAGAAAACAACCAATCAGGAGACGCTGTTTCTCTGCTAGTAATAACGAATAATAATGTACATAAAAATGTATAAATATCTCTTGATATCCTCAATAAACAATATGTTACCTGGCCCTTGTATTCTGTCGTTACACTACTACTGGTTGATATCAGTGGTGTCCGACTGCTCATACCAATCAATCATTAGTATGTAGCAACAGATGTTTACACACTTTAGTTCCAACCACTTTTAATTGCTGCTTATCTCCAACATCCTGTATTATTTTCTCATTTAAGTTATGTGGTTACTGTGACTAGGATAAGCGACTTACTAAATGACATGTAGTTAGTATAAAATCGCACAATTGTTACGCACATAAAGACTAGTGCACATTCTAATGTATGACTGTGTGACAAGGATCTACTTGTCCATGAAATGTTAGACACTGAAACCATGGTATCTTGCTTTTATTCACAGAGCCTTCCATCCTAACTGTAAACTAAAATTAGTTAAAGAAATTATTAGACAATTAAGTATCTCACCGTGATTGTGAATTATTCGTTTCGTCTTTATATCCACAATTTTGTGTTCCATACCATTTCATTTTAACGTCAGTAATGTGGTAAGCTGGAGAGCTTGACTACTGTCTTTCATATATAGCTTATAACCTGTTCATTTTTCAGCTTTTTCTCAGTTCTACTTAGACTACAAATTTTTTAAAGTAATTCCATAATTTTTCATATCATCACTAGATACTCACTTCTAGTATGGAAAATTCGATGACAGCAGGTAAAGAAAATATACTTTATCTTTTACAAGTGAATCTAATAATAATAATAATGAAACAATTAATACGCTAACAGTTACCGCTTTTAAACTTCCAATCGGAGTACTTCTTATGTTATTATGTGTTATATAACGTATTTTTGAAGTTGGGGCTTACCAATACCTAATTTAGCTCAAAATGAATAGTAACTTAGTCTGTCATGAGAATGTATATGTATTTATTTCGTTTTACTCACAATTTAATGTATTCTGTTGGGAAACTCAGGTTTTAATATCAGTAAAAAGTTTGAGCATTGTGGATTAGATCAAATAAAGTATAATGATATTTCAATAGTTTACACGCAATGATAAGTTTTGTTATAGGTAATTTTGCTCGAAACATTACCAATAACAAAACTTATCATTGTGTGTAAACTATCGAAATATAATTATACTTTATTTGAACTCAGGTTTTGTTGGCGTCTTCATTTTTATTTAACGGAATTCCTTGTAATTGTTAAATTTTAGTCTTTTGAGTGATAATACTTCGTCGTACTCCCTCAGAATATCTTTTTTTACTATCTATTTAAGTTTCCTGAATTCAGCCTACTTTTTTTCAGTTCTAAATATATTATTGGTGACAGTATTTCTACTAGATAAGTGAGTGGCATCCATCTACCCATAACAACCAACCAGTTGTATTCAACATCATGCATTCATACTTACTTTCTTGTCATGCGTGGTTATAAGCAGATCACATATTGTGGTGATCTGACTAATTTTGCTTTCCAAAGGAAACTGTGTTGAAATTTCATCTCGAACTGTGTAAATTGCAAATCGCGAACTAAATTCAATAGTCTTCTCTTTATTATTTCCTGACCCATATATCTAAGTTATCCTTCCTGTTGCTTTTTCTGGCAATTTGTGCGATATCCTTACCTAAATTACCAACACTTTTGAGTATATGGTTAGTAAAATATAAACCAGTTGCCTAACTGAATGCTTTCTTCGTGTTTCTCATGGAGATGTTAAATTAAATTTACAATATACATGAATATATTTTAATATTTTACTACTTTGTTCGCCTCAATTCTACCGGTGAGCTTATATTCATGCTGAATACACTTATTTGTATTAAAAATTGTTTTGTGTGATGTCATTTGCTAATTACTCTGCTGTGTGGAGGTTTACCTCTGTAAATAATTATTACGTAGTTTACATTACAATATACAATGCATTTTCAATTTACGCTACATTCTGTGGAAATAGTGCAGCAGATTTGTCATCGTGAGATAAATGCTTACAACATAATTCGTAAATTAACTTCGTGGTTTGTTTTCCGCTTTTTTCATCTTATAGAGGTTCGATACGCCCCTTGACGAAATTAAATACTCCAAGCTTGATTTCCGCTAATAATACAAATACGAATCTAATTTCGAATACCAATACATCAAATCAGTCTTACCATTTGTCTTCCTCTTCGTTAAGTCAATGTTCAAACACTTTGACTGATCTTGGTAATAATTTGTCTTCCCAATCTATAAGTCAGCCATTGGCTTCATTTTCCACATCATTTACTATTTCGCATGCAGCTCACGCAAACGTCAATGGGTCTCATATATCATCCAATATGAATACTACATCGTCATCAACAGCTCATTCATCTTCCCTCTTCCCTGCTCCTATTGAATGTACACATGTAGCTAAGGGACATTCAAATGCTGTCCTAGATGTTGATGTGTTAAACAGCATTATGATAACCGGTAGTAAAGGTAATATAACGTGGATATTTATTGTTAATTGGTCAGGAAAATGTCACACCCTCATATCTATTTTATGTGCATTTGCCTATTTTATGATTGAAGTTCAATGGTATTTTTGAATAAACTTACGTTGTATTTTTTCTTAGTTTATTCTACACAAATTTAATTATACTATTATTAAAGCACACCTGGTTCAACATTGTTGTCGAATATGTTTTTCTCTGATTACTCTTTTAACATTATTATTATCGTTAACTTTCTACATTTTGATCAGCAACAAATCCTAGTTAATTAGCGAGTTTAACTTAGGCAATAGATTAACACTTGCTTCCAAGTGTTGGTTTGCAGATATTTGATGGAATTTAATTTCGATCACGAACTGATCTCAGTCAGAGGAACTCTAAAAATCAAGAAGTACTGGGCAATTCTAGTCTGGGACCCCTCAGCAGTCCGTGTCCTTGAATGCACCATACTTCAAGTTGCGAAATGAAGTTAATCAAATACCCGAGAGGTAACACTTGAAAAGTAATCTAGTGCCCACTAGTGACTGACTAACGAACAGTTGACGCGTGGAGTCCACCGAGTTACGTGTGAAGAGGAAGACTTGCCGATTACATTTAAACCATATGGCTGTTTTGTAAAAATAAATTAAAAGTTGTTTCAACCTTATTCAAGTTATTTTTTGTTTGTAAAGATGGATTAAACAATTTCCAACATGCTGAGTAATAAATCCTTTTCCACAACAATCTAAGTCTTTCTTTTATATAAAGTTTTCAAGAAATCTATTTTTCATCCGCTTTTTCTCGTACATAGTATGCGAATCTATCTCTGTCATGGCATGAATAAATTATTGAGATAATTATAAAAAGAAATATCTAATCATACTGCAGTGTAATCATTATTTTCCATACATACTTAATATTAAAGTATGTTTAGTAAAAACATAATTTATTCTAACAAATTTTTAACTATATTCATTATATTTTTCTGTATTTCGTAGATCGTACTGCAAAAATTTGGGATTTAAATACAATGGAAGAAGTAGACACGTTTCATGATCATCCTAATAATGTAACGAAAGTCAGAATGTGTCAAAGATCAAATCTTATTTTCACGGTTTGCTCGTATTTCATTAAAGTTTGGGATCGCAGAGATTCACGCAAATGTATTCGCACTTTATTGTACGTTAAATGTGTTAATATGCTTTTTGATTTCTTTATTTTTTTGCGTCAGGGAAATGTTTTAATGTGGTTTTCGTTACTTAAGATTAATGCTCTTTTTCACCCACCTTTCTGTTTTAGATCAAGTGGGCTGAGTCAAGAAGGTTCTTTCGAAACAAAAGCTATGCGTCGTCAAAATATTTGTCCACCTGGTGAAACTAATATCATGGATATCACACTTGGCGGCCCTAGTACGTCATTAAGTCACCTAATGTTTTCAGCTACTGCCAATTCTGTGAAGTTATGGGATTTAAGACGTTTTTATTGTGTCGGCAAGCTACATGGTAGTCATCAAGCGCCTGTAATGGTGTTAGCTGCCGCTCAAAATTCACTTTCTCCGACTGATATTTCGGAACCCAGACTGACTGTGGTTACTGGTTCAAAAGTAAGTTGTTTTTACATTCATTCAATCAGTATTATGAGCTTCAAACGAGGGTCTTCTGGACAAAAGTATTTTTCATTCAGGTAACGTGTGTGGTAACCTCGCCTGATTTACCAGCTAAAAGAAATCCTATGGTATCATAATACAAATTGGAGGAATCTGTGGTTATTGGTCTGCTTGTTTTATGGCTAGCTGAGAATCATTGTTACATACTATTTTTATTTCATTATGGTTATTTTTTTATTTGTCTTTCTTTTAAAAGTAAAACATGTTCAAAATATTATTTCTTTTTCACCCTAGGATCATTACATAAAAGTTTTTGATGTGTCTTCAAATGCATCCGGTCTACTCACACCCATTTATGATTTAGAGCCACCGCATTATGATGGGATCGAGTCGTTAGTAATCCATGAGAATATTTTGTTTTCTGGTTCCCGGGACGCTGCAATCAAAAAGTGGAATTTAGCCAAGCAAGGCCGCCAGGATGTATCACTAGCTCAAGCTCATAAAGACTGGGTACAAGTAAGTGTTTCTGTGATTTCTCTCTCTTCTAATTAATTCCAAAGACCTGATTTGTTGAATTAGCCGAGCACTGGTACATTTTCTGTTTGTGATCTAATTAAAAGATAACAATGTCAGATGGGCGAGGTTTTGTGTTTTAAATTACTTATTTATTTTAACGCCTTTTATTAATGTTTTGCCACTTTGCTTCTCATCTTTTATACTGATGGTTTTATAGGGTATGGCTATTATAAAAGATGGGTCAAAGCTTATCAGTGGTTGTCGTGGTGGTACACTTAAAGTTTGGAATGTCGAAGATTGTACTTGTTTGGGAGAAATCAGCAATGCACATGAAGGAGCTATTAATTGTGTAAGAACATACGAAAATCGTGTGTTCACAGCTGGCAAGTAAGTATATTCGTTCCTACTTGGTTTCGTTTTCTCCTTCCTGTTTTAAACGTGCGTTTACGGTTTAAGCTTTCATTTTGTCTTTCTTTTTGTTTTTTAGTGACAAAGATATTCGATTTTGGAGATTTCTGAGTTAATTTACAGAGGATTGTATTATTACTAGTACTATTATATTCGTGCATTTGCAATAAATACAAGAATAATGCTCCAAACAGATCATCTCTGCAATATAGTGACTACAATTCAATGTTATAATTTTTTTAAATGTCTTGCCATTTTCTTGATTTCAATATATTTTTGGATACAGTGATTTCTGTGATACTGAGTGTATATGGTAACTTTCTTTGTTTTAGCTACTCTATCAGAAATTACTGCTTTCTTTATCTTGAATGATGTCTGAACTTCTAATAATCATTGTCGTCAGTTGCAACACATTATATATTCGTAAATAATTATTTGTTTCTGAATAACATTTTCAGTGTGTATTTTTTTATCCTATAATAATGAATAATTATCAGAATTTCTGAAGCATTTTGAAACCTATCGACTGAGTTTTTGCTTGATTTAATCCTAACTAAACACACGTATATATTCATATTTTCCTCACTCTTTTTACATTCTTGCCACTCACTAACAATAACGGTGGTAATATCAATAATAATAATATAAAATAAATGCATCTTTGGTGTAACAGAATGTAGATCCTACTTCCGAGGTTTAGACTCACAAGTAGTTATTTACCCATTCTGAAACTATCCATTGTACTGTATAACTGCTATTGTAATTCTCCTTATTTTCTTTTGACTGGAATTACACAAATATTTAATTTTTACCGGCTTTATCGTCATTATGCTAAAAATATAACTTCGGTTACTTGAATATTGAACTGATGAACTATAGAACGCAAGTTTGCTTATCGTTAACATCATAAATGAATATCTTTATTTACATTCTACTGTGCACATTATTTCTTAGTTCTGAGTATTTATTTTCCTTCTCTTGCTGTATATGGTTCATTTAACGGCTTTTTCTCCTCTCACTATATCTTATATGTGCATGCTTATTTCCTTGCTAAATCTCATATCATTTCATTCTTAACCTGTCCATACAGTTCCTTGTGTGACATAATATATTCATCAATAATGAAGTATTACTACCGTTTTTGTGAATTTGTTTTTAGTGTATTTATTTATCGATACACAAAGTTCCAGTTATCTTTTCTATTCAAATTTAAGGATAACATCTTCACAACCATAATGTCAATCACTATCTAACAACCTTTTACTACTTACTAATAAGAAGTAGTCTAATAAGCTAGGTTAGTTTATTCATACTTATCTCTCTGTATCTAGTGTTTGATATATTGCTTTAACAAGAGAAGTTATCCCAGACATTTTCTCTCAGTAATATGGAATCGATAGATTGTGACAAGATTTTTAAGTAGTAACTTCACAAATTATTTCCATTAACTTTGTACTAAGACCGTAAGTAATTTTTGTAAACCAAGTTATGTGTTAAGATACTAAGTTTATAGTAACTATATAACTGATCGTCCCAAAAGTTGTTACCACAGTCTTTGGGACTTTTCACATATCTTGCCTAGTTCTAATCTTTTTGTAAATACTTAGATGTTGTTTTTGTATTGAGACAGCTGGCTGGCTGGTTGGATTCAACATAGAACTTGGCACCGAAGTGCAGCAGTTCGAGTTACCACGTTCCAAAGAGCACACAAAGGTAGACAAGAAAATGAATGAAGAGAATCAATAGAGTTTTGATAAGTATAAGAGTGAAACAGAATGAGCAATGGTAGAAAGGAATATGAAAGATTACAGAGACTGAATACATCTGCGCCATTGACAACGATTTTGAGCCATGTCACCTATTGTCTCCAGCCATTGATTCTTAGAGTCCCGAGGGCCCCAACCCGGAAGTCTGCATCTCCCTACCTGACTCAGTTTAACTGTCAAGGATTTCATGGATTGATGAGGCCATGTTTTTGTTTGGCCACCACTTACTCTTTTCCAACCTGCACCTATATCAGCTAGTAATGCCCGTCGGGGGAGGCGATGGTTAGGCATGCGCAGCACGTGACCTAGCCATCTCAATGTATGTAACTTTATAGCCTCTTCTATTGATTTTCCCTCTTTGCCCAACACTCTACGCCTAACGTCAACATTACTTACCTTGTTATACCACCTAACGCGAGAAAGAGATCGTAAACATCTGTGGTCAAAAACAGACAACTTTTTCATGTCTTCAACTCGTATTGGCCATGTTTCAGAGCCATAGAGAAGGACGGAGCGAACTGCTGAGCAGTACACACGTCCCTTGGTTGATAGCCGGATGTCACGCCTACGCCAGAGACGGTGTAAGTTAACGAAAGCAGCTCGAGCTTTTTGAATCCGTGCTGAGATTTCGTCGCCAATCAATCCGTTGGTGCTGATACAACTTCCCAAATAGGTGAAGTGGTCAACATGTTCTATCACTTCACTCCCTATCACTAAGCTAGGAGTTGACGTAGTCCAGTCCTGTAGCAGCATCTTACATTTTACAGGGGCGAATCGCATGCCAAACATACGAAGATTGCTGCTCAAGGTGTTCAGAAGACTCTGCATTTTGTCAGCGTCCTCCCCTAACAGGACTATGTCGTCTGCATATTCTATCATAAGACTATTCCCTGGTAACGAGTCGATTCCTAAGTCGTTAAGTTCAGTTAAGGATACTTCCATTAGCATATCTATGATGAAGTTAAACAGAAAAGGGGAAAGTGGACATCCTTGACGGACACCACTGGTTGTTATCAATTCAGATGACAATTCCCCATAAGCCCTTACATGGCTACGTGAGTTTGAGTAGAGTGCCTTGATTAGTGCAATGTACTTTCTTGGCACTCCTTTCACAGTCAAACATTTCCATAGTACCTCTCGATCCACTGAGTCGAAGGCCGCCTTCAAGTCAAGAAATATGGCAATTGTTGGACGCCTAAAAGTGTGTCTCTGTTCTAGGATCTGTCGGAGAGTGAAGATATGATCTATGCACCCTCTACCTGGCCTAAAGCTCGCTTGATTTTCCCTCGTTTGTTCCTCCCGAATTCGGCTTAGTCTGTGCATGATTACTGAGCCTAGGATTTTAGAGACTATGTTCGTCAGGCTGATTCCTCTATGATTATCACATGAGGACTTGTCTCCCTTCTTGAATATTGGTATAATTAGTGACTTACCCCAATCTGATGGAACCGTCTCTGATCCCCAGACGTTACCTAGTACCTTAGTTAAACTATATACTAGTATGTCACCCCCATATTTAAACACCTCCGGAATAATTCCGTCGGGTCCTGCCGCTTTGCCTCGTTTCAGATTACAGATAGCTTTTGTGACCTCACTTACAGATGGCGGGCCAGTGTCTATATCCCATTCGGGTGTGTGCTGGATGGCGGGGAGGCTCAGTGTGGCTGTAGGCAAGTTAAAGTGTTCTGTCCAGCGTTCAAGGCGTCTATCCTGAGAGCTAATTAAGGAGCCACTTTTCTCAGAAATAGTCTCACTTATAACTTACCTTCTCCCATCCGTTTCCCTGTTGAGTCTAAAGAGTTGCCTATCGCCGATGCTTTTTCCATCTCTTTCGCCTTTGTCACCCACCACTGTTCACGGTCCTTGCGGAGACTTTTCGTAAGTTTCCTTTTGTGCAGCTTTCGCTCCTCATTGAATTCGAAGCTCGCCGGAATAAGTCTTCTAGCATCTATCAGTTCGGATGAGGCAGTCGAAATCCAATGGTTTTTACTCACCTTTGGATTTACCTTATTCACAGCTTTTACAGCTGTATCTATGGCTGACTGAATATTCTTCCAGGCTTCTTCAGGGTGAGCGCAGCTGTCGAAATCAGATATGTGTTTAGCTAGTTCTTCCTCAAATAGGGACTTAGTTTCCTGATCGAACTGGGGACGTGATGGGTTTACCGCTAGCTGTTTCCTACGTCCGTTCAGTCGTAAGCACACACGAGCGCGGACCAGTGCGTGATCGGTATCTACACACGTGTTCCAGAAGGAGCGACAATCTCCTACCGACCCACGCCAACGATAGCTTATTGCTATGTGGTCTATTTGTGTCCAGCGTTGGTTTGATTATGGGGGTCGCCAGGTCAAACAGTGTCTCTCCTTGTGTTTGAAGTTAGTGCTTACAAGAAACAAATGATTATCTGAACAGAACTGAAGGAGACGGTCACCGTTGTCGGTTCGCTGGCACCGACATTCTTCTCAGATTGAGACAATTTCCCCACTTGAGCATTAAAGTCACCAGCTAAAACGACTATATCTGAGCGTTTAGCCTTTCGCAGCAAACTAGACAGCTTTCGGTAGGATTCATCCTTCGTTTCATCCGAACTGCAGTCAGTGGGGACGTAGGCGGAGATTACGAAAAGGCATCGGCGAGTAGTGCAGTCTTTTCTCCTTTTTACTGATCCGTTCAGACGGACAGCACACATTCGGCTATCTACCGGGATCCAGTCAAGTAATGTCCTTTCTGCCCTAGAACTCAAAGCTATCCCAACACCAGCTAATCCTTGTGAGCTAGCTGTGGCATCTCCTGACACCCTCAAGGTGAATTTTGCAGATTCATCCTGTTGGCCAGGTGGGGTTAGGTGAATAACCACGCCTGGGTCTTGTATGCGTGTTTCTGAAACACAACATACATCAATGGCTCGGGATGCCAGAGTCTTGGCTAGTGATGCTTGTTGTCCTATTCGGCAAAGTGTCCTAACATTAAATGCCCCTATATGAAATTGGTGGCGTGGCTTTAGGAGACTATCGATGGTGGTTTTTTGGCTTCCGTCGTTTTCAATGCACACAGAGTGAAGAGCCATTAAGTAGAGGAGTTGCATTGGTAGAAGGAAGGCAAGATAATAGAGATGAAGATGAAGACAAAGATGAGTGAGGATTAGAGAGGTTTCGCGTGCACTTCGGATTATGAGGGCGATTGTTACTTCCCGGCTGCCCACACTGTGGAAGTTGGTTGCGTGACCGCAGAGCCCAGGGGCCAACTGCTTGAGGCCGGTCACACACGGCCTGTTTTTGTTTCTTGTTTTTCATTTGGTGTGTCTCAGTAGCACATTTATCACTTCTGCCCTGTGACACGGCAGCAGGAAGCGCGGTCATTGTTAATCCGGGCCCCGACCGATCCGGCATGATATTTTGTGATTTATTTTGAGTCATAGGATTGGGTTGGGTAACTGCTTTTTGTCTAACCGCTATCCAAACAACCTTTCTGGCATGGTAGGACCTCAAGCGACATAAGTCTCAGCCAGTATAGCTTGTTGGGTCATTGCTGTGTTCAAGCCCGACCACCACGTCAAGGTAGCAGCTTTCGGTCGGGTGCATTGAGACAGAGATGATTACCTGTTCCTGGTCGGCACTAACTTGAAGCATTAGAATCAACATTGTCTCATTTGATGACCATTGACTCATAGACACCAGTTTGCTGCTAGTCAGCTACTAAGCAGATGGCTGCTTATTCTAGAGCACTTACCGTGTATCATTTCATGCATCTGTGTGTCTACGATAAAATGGAGGCGAAAAAAGCATTTCTGAGTCTTATGTATCCACTTTCTCCACGAAAATGTCTGCTTAGAAACAGTTAATTATGTATTTGAGGACAGTAATGCTTATGATCCTCTTTAATCAAAACATGGAAAAGTATATTAGTCGAATTAATTTAATCAAACTTGATACAGCCGTATAAGGATAATTATCTAACTTGAGGATAGCCACTGGTGTCCATTAAGAATGCCTAATATCACGGCTCTTAGTTATTTTAGGTGAGTGATGAATGTGACTTTTTAATTTCAAAATCACACTGATTTTTTGTACGCAAGCGGTATAATTTTTATAGGTGGAGACTATGATGAAACGTGGCTATCATCTACTCACCGTAGGACGATACTGTCTTGCTATACAGTTATCTGTAACATACTCGTAATCAGTCAGTGGTTATCATCGATTGATATGGCACATCTTTTTCGTTGCCGAAATGTTTAGTAAATAACTGGAAGTAGCTTTTCTCCTCTATTTTAATGAGTGAAAAATCTAATGTAAAGAGATTCTTGACAGTGCATCATATGTGGGAATGGAGTTAAGACAGTTTGTTAGTATTAATGACTTTCAGCTAATCATACAGGTCAGTATTATGTACGAACACACTTCTGTTGCCCATTTACAAATCCTTACCAATTTCATCTCTGTGACGCTACTTATATTGGGCCTTCACTAACTGTGAATTCGCTAATTTACGATGATTCACATACGTCTGACGTATGTCCTACTGACTTCATGTGACACTTCGTGCTAAGTTCGAGACTAACATCAAGAATTATTGTATTATTGTTTCCTTTAATTCCTATAGGAACATAGGGCTTCAGCCGTGCGTCTCCA